TGAGTAACGTCTTGAGATGCTTTGGCCATTGCAACGTTTTGGTCCGTAACGTTATATCGAAGATTAAGTAAAATGTGACAAGTTTTAGGCGTGCGGGCTTTGTTGGGGCTTGCAAACCATCTTAACTATAGCTTTTTGTTGGCTCTGTGCAGAATCAAGTTAAATATTAACACTATGTATAAAAACAAACAATTTTTCGGTACACCAAATACCTGGAGGATCGGGCTGCGAGATCGCGATGTAAAGGTAGTTATACATGGTTGTAAATTACCACTCGTAATTTTTGGAAACGCTTGACATACCACATGAAAATACAAAATCACATGGGGCCTGATGTACTGTGTTGAGAGTGGAAAGAAGCTGCTTTAACTCACTCGGATCTCGCCACCAATATCGCGTTCGTTATGAACTGCACCGCACGGAGGCTTACGCACTACATACATCTGACCTGCGAGGAAGCTTAACAAGGAAACTCTGTCCCTCTTTCTCCGACGCCTCCCTTGTCTGCAACAAGCCCGACTAGGAGCCTACAGCGAGCAGATACAACACCACAGTGGTGCGATACAAATACGCTCATCGGCGATGTTCGGATGGAGTCGTGGTCACTTTCTGCGTGAAGTGGGAATTGAAACCCACACTACCCAGTCTTCCTGTTTATCACCACCCGATACGCGCTCCGTCTGGTCCTTATCGACCCTTGACGCGCGGGATTACCAAACCCCTTCAGCAAACACCAATCCATGCTGTTATATGACGTGTCCTGTCGCGCGAGGTCAGAGTTCGCCCGATCGCTCCCAGCGCCAGGACATGCGGGCGCACCGCGGGGAGGGGGCGTGGGAGTCCCCTCCCCCCCCCCTGCGGAGGGTGGCGGGCGCCGGGGGTGCGTCCCAGCTCCCGGGCGTGAAAAGGATCGGCGGTTCGGGCAGTCGTGTCGGGACGGAAGTCAGTACGGAGCCACTCAAAGTGTGGTTTGCTATTGCGAGGGAGTGAGTGAAGGCTTCACATGATGGAACCATTTAGCTGTCAACGTAGGGAATTTGAAGATACGCGGCAAGATGCTTGGACAGAAACTTTCTACTTCCCTCTTAAGAATCAGATGCACCAGTGAGCTGAAGTGCGGTACAAAACTATGGAGGTGTCTCCACTCGAGCTTGCCACCGTAGTTTTCAGCTTTCGGTGCGCCAGTGCCGGGGTGGAGCTTCAAGCGTGTTTTCCTGTTTTATTTCTTTCCACGCACCGCCCCTGGTACAACATTTGTCGACGTGTTGAGTGACCTTATACCAAATCCGCCCTGGATGCCGCGCTGCGGCGCCAATCATGCAACCCCCCCCCCCCCCCCCCCGTGTGCGGGCGCGGCTGCCGCAGCGGCGCAGCAATCCGTCGGGATCGGCCGAATTCGCTGGAATCAGTCGAGCTAATCATAGCTAGTCGTCGATCTGTATTTTATTGCTCCTTCGCACGAATCTGCCGTGGCCGAGGGCTGCCTTTCAGCGTGAGATGAAGGCTGATCTGACAATAATCCTGACCAAATCGGCACGTTTCTGGCGTTGGAACGGCCCGTCATTGCGCCTAATTGCGTTGTTGTTCTGCGTGCCGGAGTCGTAAGCGACTGTCTGTCGGGTCGGCAAAGTCAATGCCAAGATACTTGGAGTGGTGAAGGCTGCGCTCTGGCCGCTGCCGATGGTGGGCTCCTGCGTGTTGTGTATGTGTGCGTGTGTGCGCGCGCGTGACTGCGCCCTAGTCACTGCGTCCTGCACGGCGACACCCTGGGTGGCTGCCGGCGCCTGCGCCGGGCCCCGCACACCGCCCACCGCGCGGCCGACCGCGGCACCGATCCCGGGACTGGTCGGAGCGGCTCGGCTTTGGTGACGGGCTCCGGCGCTGGAGCGGGCTAGAGTCGAGCCGGCGCAGTACCTGCGGTGCTGTCCACGGATGCGCCGCGTCCGCGTGCACTGCCGGAAGGCAGCCGGGCCGTGGCCAGGCGGTCAGAGCGGGGAGGCACGGTGCTGTCATACTGGGTACCACGTCACGTCTGATTTTTGTCGATTGGAACGAATGTTATCATCAGCATGGCGGTTCATTAAGCCGCTGCAGGGAAGGGGGCGGAGCACGGACGGCGTGGAGTCCTGGATCCACCGTCGTGCCTATCTGGGGACCGGCGCTGCACCACCGAGCTGCGTTCGTTTGGTGAGCTGAGGGCGACTGGTTCTAGCGGGCGGTTGGAATGGTGCCTGCGTTTTCGACTCGTGCGCGGGGCGGTAAACTTCTGAGTACTCCATTATTTGAAAAGGCGCACGTTTGCGATGTGCGGGTATGCACCACACACAACACTAAAAGGGATATTATGCACACGTGTGCGTACATGACTATCAGGAGGGGTGTGTGTGTAGTGCCTGCGGCCAATACCTATCGACACTTAAGCTGGGCACGACCTGTCGGAATGCCGTAAGAGGGAGGAGTGACGGGACAGAAGGTGGAAAGGCAGGAAAGGCGATTGATTGGCAGGAGTATAATTCATTCGATGACAGGCATGGAACGGTGCGTCGGGCCAGACAGTGTGGGAACGGAAATCGAGACCGGCTTGATGCGTGGGTCAGGCGTCCAGCTTCAGCAGGCAAACCCTGACCATCAGTCGGCTTGTTGGTGCCGATCTTCTTTAGCCCCACGACCAGGGACATGGTTTCGCAGATTGAGTTGAAGGGTGGGAGGGGGAGGAGGAAAGATTTAGCAGCGAAAAAGACAAAACCTACCGCCAAAATACGCCGGCAAACGGACTTCTCTAAATTTGACGCACTCCTCAAATTTGGGGTGGGGTAGGTAGGGGAGGTTAAAGCGCCATCTCCCAACCTAATACGAAACTTCACCTTGTGCACAACTTACCAATGCCGGTTTAGATATTGTGTGGCATAACTGACGGATGCACCTGGAGAGGGAACCATTGGCCGACCACTGCTGCCGTGGGTAACGGGGCGCGCTCCAGCGTGCTTCGGCCGATGGGCACGCGCTCCACCTTACGCCGGGACCAGATGCAATCCTTTGGTTCGGCCGCCGTAATCAGCTGACTGGCCGAGCGGCGCCGGCTGCTGCCCGCCAGCGCTGCGCCGCCATCTTTAATTTAATCACCCCAAATGGTCACCGTGGTAGCCCGGTATTTGCCGTCCGTCTGATTTATAATCGGGAAAAATAGCCTTAATGACCGGTGGGGTGGCGTTTCCAATAGGGACCGGAAAGGCAAGCGTCGATGTCCGTAATTAGGTTAGCGGATTTGGCGCGTTTGTTTTGCTCGTCCACCTATTCGGGGTCTGGGCTCGGATCAGGGATTTGCCCCCTAAGGCAGGTGACGCCCGGCGCTGCGCCGTCATCGCCGCCGCGCCGGCATTGTCTTCGGACCCGCCGGATGGGCTAGCCTTTCTCACATTTCCCGTCAGATTATGATCCCGTACTCACTGCGGTCGCTCGTGCTTCAGAAATAGCCTTCAATGCTATCATGCGTGCTCAGTTCGGTCAACAAATTGATTATTTTGTGATGGCTAGTCATGAGATCCGTGGCATTAGACGCCTTGTGAACTATGGGGAGCAAATTTGTGTCTCTTCCAATATGCGTATATGTCGTCTGTGTGTTTTCATGTCTGTGGAGCGTTACCCAACGAATCGAACCTTGCCCCTTTTCCGCGGCTTTCCGTCAGCTCTGCGACCGGCTGTCAAACATTACAACACAGACACAGGTGGCGTCCGCGTGCCGAAGGAGCCTGCGTGATTCGGCTTTCAAAGGTCAACCTTAGCCTTTTTACTGCCAACCTTAACCAGATATCCACTGCCACATGCCCTTCAAAACATTTTTTTTGTGGTGGAAATGGTTTTGTTTTAGCCATAGCATAATTTTATTGAGCAGCGCGCCTCACAGGGCCCAAGCTATGAGAAGCATTGAAAAAGTAAGCTATTGCAATGAGAACATCGGTTAAAGTTTTGGGTATGACTGGGAGTAGATAGGAGCTAGAACTTCAAGGGGTAGAGTTAGCGGAAAGTGGTAGGGGCGCCTAAAGCAAGGAGGGGATGATGCTTTGCCTAATTTTTGTAATAAGTTGACCTGGAATTGTTTGACCGTCGCTGACATAACTGGTGTGCAGTTGTGCGCAGGCAGCATTGTGCCATTTCGAGGGCGGAATTTCCAGGACGTCCAGCGGTGTCCAATCCTGGTCACCGACGCCATTTTCGGACAAGAGACCTGGCATATAATTCACCGTCCACTGCGGGTCCTTATCCCACTTTTTCTACGTTCGTCTCTGGTACGGTAACAACGGGAATAGGACCATTATTGGAGCCGTGGAACTCGCGTCCTTCGATTGATAGCGAGTGATTACGGCCTGCGAGGCATAAATCTGGTCCTTTCCCATTCAATTGTCAATGAGACGGGGCTGGGCGGCGCAGGGGCCGACAATTATCCCTTGTTTTATACGGAGATGCCGCATATCGGCCACGAACCGCGCTGCGCCCGCCCCGCGACATTCCGACGAGGTCCCGCGGTCCGGCACCTCCACCTTTGTGTGAGAATGGCGGTGCCCGGCGTCACCGACTCCGAACTCCTGGACCCGCACGGTGTCTCCGATCAGCGGTGGGAACAGAGGTGACCGGCGTCACCGACTCCTAACTCCTGGACCCGCGCGGTGTCTCAGATCAGCGGTGGGAACAGAGGTGACCGGCGTCACCGACTCCGAACTCCTGGACCCGCACGTTGTCTTAGATCAGCGGTGGGAACAGAGGTGACCGGCGTCACCGACTCCGAACTCCTGGACCCGCACGGTGTCTCAGATCAGCGGTGGGAACAGAGGTGACCGGCGTCACCGACTCCGAACTCCTGGACTCGCACGGTGTCTCAGATCAGCGGTGGGAACAGCGGTGACCGGCGTCACCGACTCCGAACTCCTGGACTCGCACGGTGCCTCAGCTCAACGGCAGAGGACGAAGTGGTTATATGACGGGCTGGGCTCTGTTTTTTTCAGATCAGCAGCATCAGTGGGCCGGCGTGGGGGGCAGCAGCCCACTACCGTCAGCTCATCCAGCAACAGCAGCAGCAGCAACACCAGCACCAACACCAGCAACATGTCGAGGACGAGGTACGTGGCATTAAATTTTGTATTTTTCATGTTTACGGCCTATCCTTTCGAAGTGCGGTGCACGCTTACAAACGCCCCGCACATGATCGCCAGGAGCGCTGCGAGAGCCGCGGACCCGTCCAAACGCCAGGGAGTTCGGGAGAGGCATCGGCAGTTGTGTTGCGCCATGTACCGTAACACGTTGTTGTTCTTCATTTGAGATGAACCTCGTTAGGAAATAGCCCCGTAATGGTGACAAAGCACACTCAAAGGTCCCTACAGCCTAACAGTGGTGTGCTGATGTAAACGTGCTCGCCGGTTGATGGCTCCCCAATTTCCCTATTTTTTGGGGTATATTTTTAACTATTTCAGGCTTGCGCTCTTCCTTGGTTTCCCTTCACTTTTGAAAACTTGGCTGACAGGCACCATGCATCCACGAGAATTAAAATTAGGCGATCCAATACATTCCTTAACACCTGGTTAGTAAATCTTTAACCGACTCGCACATAATAAGGCGCACCTGGTGCCGCCTGACCCATTCATATATCCTCGCCCTGCCCCAGATGCTGCTGTGATACAGCTTTTAATCCCCTCTTCACCCTAAAACCCACAAAGCAGTCGCTGAAAGACCCATCAACGGCGCATTTTCATATAAATATACCGGCACTAGGTTCGTGATGTGTCCGCCTTTTTATCGTCTCGTTTGCATGGGGTGCATTCAAAACCTATGCGCTTGTCTCGCTCCAATAAATCATCCATAATTTAACGCAATAGTGGCGGAAAACGTGTGTGGATTTTGACAAAGACGTCTGTTGCCCGGGACTGCGTCCCCAACAATAAATACAGTCCAGCTTTACTCGCCGTAAATCGGCGGCTTCTCACTCGGTCGCGGCATGCTGCATTGTATTTTGAGACAATCAGTTTGCCCCGAAAAATGCTTAACATTATGCGATAAATAATCAACCACAAACAGCAACGCGTATCGGTGTAATACGAATCAAGAGTATTCCCAAACTTGACGCATCATCAACCCACAAAAAAACGTTTTGATGTATCGCTAGTCTACGAAAAACAAAGGCAAATATATATCAAACTAACATGGTTGAACAAAATGAAGTGTTCCAGGCCGTTGCGATTTGCTGATTAATTTGGATGATGGTGTTAATAAGCTGGTGGAAAGAACACACGAGGTGACGAAAAGTTCTCGAAATTATGTCAGATATGAAAATGTGTGGGAGTTTGCGCCTGTCCATATTTGCAAACGGATCGTTTAAACTAACAGGTAATTTGGTGCAGCCAGCACACTGCAGTGGTCGGGGTCGAGCTGCGTCGTCCTTCGATTGCCACATTGGACCTGTCCTGTAATCGAGCGCCCACACCGAGCGGGGCGGCCCTAGTCACTCAGCGCTGCCAACTCTCGGCTGGCGAGGCATCCGCAGAATCGCTGTATATATCGCCGGCCCACGTGGCTCCGGCGGCCCTGTCACGCCATCTGACACAATTTTCCGCCCGCCTCATCTGTCATGCCATCTGACGGAATTTTATGCTCACGTCAGCGCTGGCGCGGCCGTTCCGGCCGAATCAAAGGGCGGCTGACGGTGTGGTCGATCGGCCGGGCCGGGTGCCCGCTGACGTCCCGCCCGCCTCGTCACCGGACCGGGACGTGTCCGGTGCTGGCACGCCTGCCGCGAGCTGACGACGCTGCACGCTGCAGATGTAAATGCTGAAGATGATGATGAAGATGATGATGGAGATGATGATGTTCATGATGCAGATGATGATATTGATGAGGATGCCGATGCTGCTGCTGATGACGACGCAGAGTAATGTGCGCTGTGCGCTGCCCGGTCGAAACCAGGCTTTCAACTGCGCATGTTTTGGTCAAAGATCATGTTTAGGATGCTGCAAGATAATGCTGAAGTGTGGGATCAAATTCCACATGTGATGGAAAACATGTGGGCGCCGTCGATATTCGTGGCGTTCGAGAACACCACAAACGGTATATGCACCGTCGAATGGGAAAAACACCAGCTTTGAGCGCCGCACCCGGACCAAGCAACCATCAGGAGCTCGAAGCGTGCGACCGCCCGCTTGGGGGTCCGCTCCAAGACGGAGCCTACGTCCAGCCATCCTCCAGAGGCCCACGATCTCAGCGGTGTCCACCGAATCACCAGCCGACCTCTAGAGTTCCGATCTCAGCGGTGCCGGCCGCAGCTCCAGCCGGCCTCCAGAGGTCCGATCTCAGCGGTGCCGGCCGCAGCTCCAGCCGACCTCTAGAGTTCCGATCTCAGCGGTGCCGGCCGCAGCTCCAGCCGGCCTCCAGAGCCCCGGTCTCAGCGGTGCCGGCCGCAGGTCCAGCCGACCTCTAGAGCCCCGACCTCAGCGGTGCCGGCCGCAGCTCCAGCCGACCTCTAGAGTTCCGATCTCAGCGGTGCCAGCCGCAGCTCCAGCCGTCCTCCAGAGCCCCGACCTCAGCGGTGCCGGCCGCAGCTCCAGCCGGCCTCCAGAGCCCCGGTCTCAGCGGTGCCAGCCGCAGCTCCAGCCGACCTCCAGAAGTCCGATCTCAGCAGCGCGCGCGCCGATCGGCTGATATAAATACCCGAGGCCGAGAATAGCGTGCGCCCCGGGGGTGGGGCGGCGGCCGGCGCGAGTGGGGCGCCGCCCGGCGGGGAGGGGACCGGTGCCCGGCGCCCCGGCGGGCCTTGTTTGGAGGGGGAGGGGGAGGGCCCGGGCCCAGGCGCGGGCGGCGATCGATCACGGCCCGGCGCCAGAAGCGTCGCCGATCGGCGCCGATTTCTGTGGCCTGCATCCGAGGTAAATGCGGGTGGGGTGATGCCGGCGCCGCCACTCAGCTCGTGGCGGGGCTTTTCACGAGATAGCTCACCTCTAGACCCGGAGTTGCCACTGACCGCGGGGAAGAATCGCTCTGCGGGGCAGATGCTGCTCGCGCTGCCGAGTCACGGCAGTCCTTTTCCGTCCGTAAAGCCGGCTGCGACTCGCGACGCAGGCGGAAGGGCTTTCTGCTCGCGCGCCATGGAGGCTTCCGGTCCGGGACGGCCAGCTCGGTCGCGACAGGTCTCCCACGTACCACAGCGGCCGGGCAGAAATTCGTTTGGCTCCTCCGCCCTCCATATGCTAATGCCGCGCTCTTCCGAGCGTCGCACCTCCGTCGTCCATCTTATAAACACGGTCGACGCCACATCGGCTCGGATATTTTCATATCTGGTGTCACGCGCGCGCGCTATTCGGGCTGGAGCCGTGCTGCGGCGCGTCCCGCTGGCCGGGCCCGGAGCACCGCACCACGCCGCGGCGCCGGCGCAGAATACCCGGATCGGCAGCGCGGGCTCGCAGCCGGCTTGCTTCATCGACGTGCGCTTACTGCTGGAACTGGTAGGAATGAAGTGCGGACGATAATGGCGGACGGCATTCGGGGTGATCTCTGAACGATCCTTGATGCGCTTCGAGGCCAGTCCTTGGGAGCACGGTGGTGTACTATAGAGAATTCAACGCTAAAGATGCCCATGAAAGCTAGATATATTTATGGAAAATTGTGTTTTTCGCCCGGTGAATTGTCGTGCGTGGGGAAGACAGCCTCTGCTTCAAGCTATTGCGCGGCGATGGCACTGGAAGCTCGATTGGGTGCACACGCGCCCGGCACAGCGTCGTATGTCTGCCTTCCGAGACCGAGAGAACTCACGGCGATCGGACCAGGTGACGGCCGATCATGAAGCACCCGGCCCACCTGGAGCCTTCAGCGGCGCACGTCCGCACACGCCAACAGGTGGCCCTCAGTCGCCGGCTGTTTACAGGCAGCAGCGCGGGTTGCCACGGCGACACGTACGCCGGCCAATCAGCGCCAGGGCGTGATCGCCACCGCCTGACGCGATGCCGCGTCAGATAAGATGCCGATGGAAATCCGCCGACAATGGGTGACTGACGCGTCGGCCCGCGGCGGCTGACTCCGGTGCGCCTGTGCGCCGGGGTCTGTGCGCCGGACTGGCCGCGCGGCGGCAGACTCCGGCGCGCCTGTGCGCCGGGGTCTGTGCGCCGGGCTGGCCGCGAGGCGGCAGACGCGACTGCCTGTCTCTCGGTCGGCACGGAGCCGGTGAAAGCAGCCCGTCTCATTCTGTGCTGCGACAGAGCGGGGAGCGGACGCCGCCTGCCCTGTCGCCCGGCGGAGCGCGGGCACCTGCTGAGGCGGCGATCGCGTGGGGCCTCTCCAGATCACTGGCGTGGCCGCGCGCCGCCTTCTTCCGAGCCGCAGGCCACAAATGGCTTGATTGGCTTATTGAAGCGGCACAGCGCAGCCTTCGATACAACGCAGATGTATGCAGGCCATGCCACTGCGCAGCCCCAACAGCCCTGTTCGTAAAAAAGCCAAGATAATTTGCCGCTAACTGATTCGACTCCGTCTTCACACATGACAAATAGTTTCGACCCTTGCCCACTCAGGGCACGCGCTGTAAGCCAGCGGCCTGTTATCTAGGCTCGTGCGGGCCGCCCCCCGGCCCACGCGACTGTGATAGGCGGCGATGCTGAGCGACCGACACCCGAATTTTCCTGTTATCTCAGCCGGCTGGTCCCCGACGGAGCCTGTCGGACGCCTGGAGTGTGACGTCACTCCAGACCACGGGATCGGACAGCTGGCTGCGGCGGCCCAGGCCTGGGCGCCATTGGTGTATGCATAAACTGAAACATCAAACCATCAAATCCGCACAAAACTGTTATTCAGCGAGGTTATTCTGATCTCCCAAAGCTAGGGAGCTCTCGTCAGAGTCACCTTCTGCGTCTGCGACGGAACGACTGCCGGCAGTTGGCACGGGCGTGATGTCGGCTCCTCGTCGGCAGGCTGCGTCGCCCGACCCCGGGTCAGGACCCTCCCGGACGCACTCCCCCCGCGCCGAGTCGGAGCCGGACGTGGAGGCCAGCGACAGGTCCACACCCAGCCAGAGCGTGCTCGACAAACTGAAGCAGCAGGTGGCCGACGTCACTGGCGACATGCGCCCTGACGTCACTGGTGACAGGCGCTCTGACGTCACTGGTGACAGGCGCGGCAAGGTAACAGCTGGTTCAAAATGATCTCAGCGCGAGATCCGTCGTCACGTTTGTCGATGTCATTCGTAGCGCATAACCTGTTCAGTACTTTGAAGTGTTGAGCTGTTTTGAGCAGCGTTTTTTTTTTTTAGTTTGTGCTTCGCATGCCAAGCAGGTGTTACGGTACGACGAAATTGCGGATGACGTTTCACCAAGAAGGGCAAAACTTATCAGGCTAAGTTCATGTGCGTCAGTTAAACTTTATCAAACTGGGGGAGATTAATATGTTCGGAGCTCCAGAGATTAGAAGGGAGGAGGGACATAAATCATGTTCCGGAGAGAGGAAGAGAGCAATATGACCAGAGCCGACATTGTGTTTTAACAGAGATTAGTGAAATGAGGAGAACACTTACGCTATGTCACCAATGCCAAGGAGACAAAAGCCCAATTTGAAAGGAGCGCTGTGTACAACTCGACCCGGCCCCCAGTGCTTACACCCAAGTAACCGGGACCCCCGCCCACAGCTGAGCGGCGACGCCGAGCCGCCGGACTACCGTACTCCGGAGTCGGCGCAGGCTCGGGCGGCGGCCGAGGCGTTCCAGCGGCACCCGCTGTCGCCGCAGTCGCTGCTGGCCGCCTCCATGGCGCACAACCCGCCGTCGCTGGTGCCGCTGCCCGGCCTGGGTCTGGCCGGGTACGGCGGGTCTGGCGGCCGGGCCAGCAGCTCGCCGCCGGCCCGTGACACGGTCAGCCCGCCGGTCAACTCAGCGGCACAGTCGCCCCGCCAGGGCAGCGCCAATCACGCCTCCTGGAACTACGAGGAACAGTTCAAACAGGTCAGCGGCTGTGCTCTACGTCAATGCCCGGGTCTGAATGATAACCAACAGACTCGCAAGGCACTGCAATGATATGATGGCCGATCCTGTTTAATGGGGTCGTTTATGCATGCTGGACATCACCGACCTGTGCATTATCCACCACGTTGTCTCCCTGGCTTCGAAGCTCTCCGCTCCGTTCCTGCAAGAGCAGGTGTCCTTATGCAGCCTTAAAAGTTAATAGTATTACTGCCCTGTGTGCACTGCTGATTTGCTGGCAAACCAGGATGCATTAACAACCTGCGTCTGGTCTTTCATTTTTTGCCCCTCCTGCACTCCACCGCACGTCCTCCAGGGCGCACATTTGCACTGATCAAAGTCGGCTGGCATTGAGACATCACGCAACTGGGCTGGCGCCATGCGTGCCGTCGGGCGGAGGGCTCAGTACCAGGAACGTGCGCTGGCGCCGGGCCGGCCGCCGGCGTGCAGGGCTGACCGGAACACCGGGCCGCCGGCGGGTCTGCACGCGCCCGGCCGCGTGCACGTCCGGCACCGCCTCCCTCCTTGGGCTGCCATATGACCGGCCGCGGGGCGGCCATATGTGCGCGATCGAGCGCACGCTGCCGTCGCCTTCTCAGAGTCGCCGTCGCCTTGCCGCCCTCTCCACGAGACCTGCCTGATCGGTTTATTGCCGACAGATGAAAGGGCGCGAGGCGGCGGCGGCGGCGCTGGTGGTTTGTGTGGCGCAATCATTGATTATTTTAACCGCTCTTTGTACGAGCCAGCGCGGCTGGGTCTGACCGGCTGCGGGTGAGGGGAGCGTTCAGCTCACGCCGTACAGACACCCGAGACGGGGCTGAACAGTGGACAGATATGTCTGTTTCTTGAACGTGGATTATTCTGAAGATATGTGAGGGTGTAATTGCGCAGCAGCCGACGGTTGAAATTGTTGGTCGCTCCACTACCGGTCTTTTGTCATGCATCGTAATGCATAGGGGAAGGAGCGATCCAGATATTGAGGGAGGGGATGAGCAATACCAATTTTGAGGTTAATTTTTGCATGCATGGCCTCGAGAATTTTGCAGACTCAGCCTAAATATATGCTTGGAAATTGCGAATTTTAACATTGTCCGTCATAATTTCATTGACTTATACTTAGCATGAAGAAATGTAGGGGCTCTAAAGACACACCCTGCTATGTAACAAGGGGTGTGGTTTGTTTCATCGTATTCCCGAGTGAAAATAATAGTTCAGCTATTTTTGTTTGTCTCGCTGCGCAACGGCGCCTAACCAGTGTCGAACGCATTTTTTGAGGTTTTGTTCGTGCATGTGTATGGTGCATGGGTATCCACGTGTTCACATTATTTGCCAATTAACGTTTGCGAACTGTGGCGTGAACTCACCACCGAGGTGTTGTACTACTCCATTTCGACATATTATTTTGCCTCCGTTCTTTTTGATAGCCAGGATAATGGAGATTTAGCCTTTTATGTCATGCAATACTGTGCGACGGTGGCTCCGCGCCGGTTTGGCACTCTGGCGAGCGAAATGGCTCGATTGGAAGGGTGTTGAACGTTGGCATAGGAGGCCCTGAGGAGGCCCTGTGGAGGTCCTGTGGAGGCCCTGAGGAGGTACTGTGGAGGCCCTGTGGAGGCTCTCTGTAGGTTCCAGGCTGACGTCTCTCGGCGCGCTCACGGGACGATTGTGACCGTTGGCACTCCATGAGTGGGCCGCGCGACGTCGTGGGCGGCGTAGCCGTCTCTGGGAAGTCTGATTGCTGGACTGTCTCCGGCCAGTGCCAGCCCACCCCTCCACAGGTGTATGCTGTGGCTAGACAGACCGGTCTCTATAATCTTATATGTAAGTCATTCTGGGGGCGGCGGGGAGGGCAACATTGGCCAATGCAGTATTTTTTGCCGAGTTCCTAGTCAATTCGGTCCGCATTGAGGGACGGGAAAAGGCATTGGATGGCCAATGTCCCACACAGATGTCAAGCGACACCATCGTCGCTACCTCCGGCCTCAAACCCGGACCATTAGGATACCAGCCACGCATCATGTCCCTCCGGTATCAGCCGCGGCTTTTAATCTCTTCGGTTTATTGGCGGTTGCGCTGAAGAGTGTACCCAACGCACATCGATTTAAAATGGTGGGTAAAACATGGGAGGGAGCCATGGCCTCCATACCTGCCCGCCTGTGTAGAAGTAACTTAGCCTTATAGCGTTTGCAAAAGCGAGCCATCGAGCTTGCACTAGACCCATTTCTCAGAAGCCCTGACCAGTTCAACATCGCAAGCGTATGTACATCAAGCCCGAGCGGCGCTGTCTTTGACAGCAGGCGGGACGGGTGGGCACGTGCTGACAACCACTCGCCAGGGTCGCCTGGTTCGCACAGCAGCCCTGGCAAGACGCGCCCCCGACCCGCCCGACGGTGTCCCTCGTCGGCCTCTTGAGTGGCACATAATGGGGGCCTTTGTGGCGGACACACTGCCCCTGGTGTTGATACAGAAACACAACACCCCCGATAAGTCAGCCCTCTCCCGTCCGCGCACATATGGTGGACGGGTTTAATTCTCGCACATATGGTCCGGAAATAAAATCGCCATCAATTGTGTTTTTACATGCGCCGGCGCGGCCGGCAGGCGGGTCTCGCTGACGCGGCACATGTGGTCCCCGGCTGGCGTGCCCGGCTAGCCGACACAAAAACTCCACCCACCGACCCACCGCGTTTGATATCAAGACTCGGCCATGTGTTGTCGCCCGGTTTTTGCACTCATTTCGGAGGTGGATGTGCTCTCGGGTTTCGCGGTCGAGTTAAGCAGCCAGCTGAGAGATGCCCCAGCAACGCGAGCCACGATCAAGTGAACGACGTTGTTGTTGAAAGTTTTGGATGAGATGCCGGGCGGTAAGAGAAGCGACTCGGTGGCTGCTAATTACCGTGCATCAACCCAAATTAGTTCCAGTTTTGTCACATTTTGGCTGACAGGATGTCATGGCACGACACCAAGGCACCAATATGTCATAGGCCCTTTTTTGTCACCCTTTGCCTTCTCGTTTTCTCTTCCTCCTTTCTTCCCTTTCCCATTCTTCTTGATTTCTTTCGACACCTTCTGTTCTCCTCTCTCCTGCAATCTTTCCTCCCTCTTCCTCTTTTCACGTTGTATTTATTCTGGTTCCCATCTCTCTCTCTCTCTCTCTTTCTTCCTCTTTCTCCCTTCCATTATTTCGTCATTTTCTTCTTTTCTGACCCATTTTCTCCTGCGGCAGGCTATTTGCGCTGCAATTGGAACCAGAGCCTGGTGTGCTAAGGTTTTAACATTTTCTGCCCGCCCCTCCCCCCAACCTGTGGAGATAGTGTCATGACCTCGGGCCATCAAGTTAACCTAAGACTGTCACCGAAGTGTCGCCTGAGCTCAGTTTACAGGCATTTTTTCACTGTTTAGTGATGACACACATAATGGGCTCACGCGAAATTTGATGCTCACACCAATGCATTCTACCAATTGTCATGCTCACGACCGATTGGCGAACAAGTGTCCCATTCTGATATCAGTAGATCAAAATCCACTGACAAGGCCTCGAGCCTGATCTGAGCACAGTCCAGTCCATTATCAGTCTGGCAATAACCGAGAGCGTGGCCACCATTCGGCGTGAGTTCAGCCGTCGCCCACGACGCGTATAGCGCGCCGCTGGGCGGCTGGCTGCTCAGGAGGCCCCGGCCCCGGCCGACCCCGTCTGCCGGGGCCGGGACCGGGACCGTCTGGGGCCCATCCATCGGCGTGACGTCCCGCCCGGGGGAGAGGGTGGCGACGATCCGGCGCAGGGGATCGCCACATTCGTCATGTCCAATCCACGCCGTATAAACAGCCGGCCAAATGGGCCGACACGTGATCTATGCCGCCATAAGCCGGGCCTCCGGATACGCTGCTGGCTGGCGTCGGGAGCGGCGTCGGCGGCGTCTGTCCGACGATCGGGCGTCTCTTGCGCCGGCTGGGGCCCTCAGAAGGCTGTGGGGGGGGGGGGGGGGACTGGGGAACTTCCTGCCTGCCGGCATGTGCTTCGTCTGGCAGACGAGGATAAATCACAATCACTTGTCGTTTCTAGTTATCGTTCATTTACGCCAGATCGGTGCTTATGTTTTCCCGGGCCCGGCCCGATCAGTCGTGATGAAATGATGGCGCCACGGGCGGAAGCCAATCGTCGGTAAATGATTGATATCCCAAGCCGAGGTTATGATTCAGCCGGTCCGAGCAAGCGGGAGAAGAGAACGAACGTAGACACACACTTTTTGACGTCCTTGCTTCTGTCGTGTTAGCGTTAAGAATTTTCTTCGGACAAATCGTGAGCCTAGACGAATGAAGTGCTGCTTTTCCTGCTCAGCTGGGATTTTAATCATTTTCCTCATCCGAGAGGGGGTGGGCTTCGGACCCCCGAAAATTTTTTGAATTGCATTTGTGTGATATGTAGCCTAGGGTCGTGTTTCGAGGGAGGCAAAGCGGGAAGATGATGATCATCTGGCAAGATTTATGAACTATGGAGAAAGAAGACGCATTTCGAGTCATTGCTTGTACGTTCGCTTGAATAGATACCTCTAATTATTGGTGCCTTATTTGGACCTTTAGTGCAAATTTATCAAGATTTTCCGTGATAATAAATGCTGTATTTATCCAGTGATGCATATAGAACCACATATAAGACGTGTACAAGCTTGGATTTAAAAACTTGGACCGGTGAATTTGGGAAACACATGACGAGGCACATATTCAATTTATCCAACATCACCCCACTGACTACGTCCGTGACAAATTGTGTTAATTTAAGCACGTAATACGTACACTTTAAGACCAAATAGGAGAGTGAGCTTAAGCGATTAATGAATCGTTCAAGTCCGCTCCCAAGTTTCTACGACAAATGCCTTCTGAGATCTTACAGAGGTGTTGGTTTAGGTCTCCATGGACAAACTTAGCGATAAAATAATCTGGAGCGGAGTGGGTTAATATCTGTACCCTGAATGCGTTGAAAAATCCGCCCGAGAACCTAGTTACCTCTGACTCGTGCGTTGCGTTATTTAAACCGTTCCCGCATTGGTTCCCGCATAAACCGCACTGTCACCGGAGCAGCTAGATTTTTCCGTATTTTCGAACATGGCCGGCGGCGCCGGCGGTGCCGGCGGTGCTGACCCCGCCGGCCGGTGAAACCTGAGGCCGTGGCCCAGCCGGCCGCCGGGCCGAGGCCGTGCCAGAAATCCACCCATGCTACGGCATTGTTGTGCCAAGATCGGGGCGGCCGCGCGCGCCCGGCCCGGTATTTCAGGCCGCTCGAAATAGTGGTGATGAATTCGCCGACATTTACTGGCGCGATGTGCCGCGATGGCCGACGAGAACGGTTCCTTTGTCAGACTGCGGCACGTCTCGACGGCGCCGACGATGGATTCGACGGCTGCCGGTGGCGGCCTTATCTGCGCGTTCTGGGTACCGGGGCCGACAGGCGAGGCACCCCACGGCCGACAGACGAGTCCATTTCTTGAGACGCGGCCGCACGGCGATCGCTGATAAGGACGCTCTGTCTGGCGTTTGTTTGCCTGTTTCTTGCGTCTGCTCAATCATTGCATGCCTGCTCCATCGTGTGTGCCTGGCAGTAGCCAACTTGCGTGTCTGGCACGGTAAATATGTGAGTGATTGGACGTTCCTTCTTCCTTTGCCTCCTCTCTTTTGACCTTTGCCCCCTCCGGAACTGTCCATCTCTTCTGTGTAATCTGCGTTCCAAGCCTATCTTATCTTCCATCCCCCTTGATGCCGCATGTTTCTTCGAATTTCCTCTATTGTTTCAGCCTGTTTTCCTTTCCTTTCCACTCCTCTCCTTTCTCTTCTTCCTTCTATCGTTCTCCCTGTCCTCATTCATGCCCGCAGTGTTCCAGTTTCCTCCTTCCCTATCCCCCTAGTTCGATGCTGTATGGGCGCAAATGACCACTGCGATCCACGCGTCTTTAAAACCAGTGACTAACCACCTCGTTGCCGTATATTTCCACTCTACGGTAGTTAAATGCATGACGGTCGCGCGTGGGTTCACGCCCGTGACGTATCGCGGCGTGGGCCCTCCTCCAGTTCGTTATTGTCGCCGGGGCTTCAACAGCCCAGCTGGTTTGTAGTCCCTCACGACCGGCTCCTGAGCCGCGCCCCTCTCTCTCCCGGGCCATGACCCGGCTGGCGCGCCCCCGACGCTGACCCCCGTCTCCCGCGCGCGAGCCTTACGCTCGGAATAGCCTTGTGACGATGCACTCAATCACATCCCGTGCCGGCTTTGTTTACGAACGGCCGAGTCGGCTGCCGTGGGCTCGATTGTCTTGCGCCGGGCAGGGAGAGGCGGTATGGGCGGGCATTCTCCCGTTGTCAGACCTCCGCACGCCGTCAGCCGCTCATTGAACTGCCGCTCGACGACCCGAGGCGTCTGAGCTTATACAGACGGGTGCAAGTGACGAACACCCAGAGTCACGTCAAGAGCGCGTGTAATTTGTTCAAATCACTATCACCGCCATTTTCGTCATATTTTCCGGTGGCTCATTTCTGCCGGGCTGTTTACAAGAACAAGTGACGCAGAACCGCTGTAGGATTTGACAAGAATGGCCCGCTTGTTCTGACAATGAGGATTCATTATGGCCGGGGGAGTACAGGGGTCGGCGGCTGCCCCGATCCGCGCTGCCCGCGCGCCACAACAAAGTCCTCAGCGTCCCGCGCCTGACGCCTGTAGTGCCGACGCCATCCGACATTCGTCCCGGCAGCGTCAAGTGGCCGCCACCGCCCTGCGCACGCGGGAAAACACCTCCAGATCAAACGGGATCCGGGCGGTGCAGTGGCCGCGGCGGCGGCGCTGGACGGCGGAGGGGCTGAGCCCGGCGCGTCAAGGCTCCAGCCTGTCGAGGGGCTCGGCAGGGGAGCGCGTCTCGGCGTGTGATGCGCCCGTGACCCCCGATCGCGGCTGCTGGACAGTGATCGGCTGGAGTGTCGGCTAGCGCGCACCGAAGGGGTGAAATGCTTCCGGCTGCGATGACCGGACGACGTCGCGCACCGGCGGCTGGTCGCGCGATGTTGAGAAGCGCCGGCTTTTCAGGGCTCTGCCGCCCGTGACCCTCGCCCCCCTGACCGCCGCCCCCCGCTGACCGCTCGGATGGCGCCATGCATCTCCTAAGCGGCCATCAGGCGGACGTCGATGTCGTTAAGCCGGATGCCGCGCCGGCGCCGACGGTCGTTAGCCGCTCTCAGGTGGGCCGATCTCACGGGCCGTAATAGCGCGCCACAATCGACCGTGGCGCGCCGGGACTGCCGCCGCGCGGACGCCTCCTCCCGAGCTACGCGGCGGCGGCGGCGGCGGCCCGGCGTTGCGATCTGGTGACCCCTGTCATATCTGGGCGGAGAGGCGTGTGGCCGTGTGGTGGTAATGAAACCATGGACGAAAATTCCGTCTTTTTAAAGGCGAGGAACGAGGAAGTATGCACGGAGTGTTTGCAACACGACTTACCGGCTTAAGTTATGGTCTTGTTTTGTGAATCAACGATCGGAGTGACGTATAGCCTTGCCTTTATAGCTATGACTTTCAAGCGATATTTCTGATAACATGGAAATAGTGGAGCAAAAGTGGTCTTATGCCTGTACTCAATTTTATATTTTTGACGACTTGTACAGTTTGGGGTCTGATTTTCGAGTCGCTACCTACCTAAGCGTAGATGAAAACGGTGAACGGAATGTAGTTCTGCATTATGCCTACGTGTGTGACTGATAATGGTTGTACGTTGCTACTGCCTCTCAGGAACCAGCGTAATGTTTCCTTGGCTTTCGAGGGCTGGGGGCATAAACAATACATTTCGTTTTGTGATTATCTCGTCCGTTTAACGCGCAATTCGTCCAATTTTTTTAGGCGTCTTGTTATTTGCGTCAGGCACTGGCCTCCTCACAGTTGGTTACGCGACGGACTGAGCTTTGTGACTCCGGGATCGCCTCATGCCCTCCGCTGCAGTCTCTCGATCCAGCCGCCATAAAAATGCCCTTCGCCTTGCCGTGCACCTCATGCCAGCGCGGAGCACCGCATCAAACAAGAGGGTAACACCACAGCTTGGGACGGTCGCACTCGGCAGGGAAATATGGGTGAAACCTGACAGAGCAAAGGCTTAAACACGTCTAAAGAAATGTGTTTTTGTGGGTCTGAGCACCAGCCGACCTGCCGGCTGTGCTCTGTCGGGATCATCTGAACGTGATCCGGTATTGAGCAGCCCGCACCATCCGACCTGCTGGCTGTGCTCCGTCGGGATCATCTGAAAATGATCCGATATTGAGCGGCCCGCACCAGCCGACCTGCCGGCTGTGCTACGTCGGGATCATCTGAAAATGATCCGGTGTTAAGCGGCCCGCACCAGCCGACTTGCCGGCTGTGCTACGTCGGGATCATCTGGACCATGGTTCGATGTTGGGCAGCGGCGCCGGACGGATGGTTCTCTCTCTCAGTCCTTTCCCCTACTCCTTTGATCAATCACCGGCGGCGATTACTGGGCAGGCCGACGTGTGATAGATGATAACTGATAAGCCATTGCGATGCCGAGAGTGATAATGAGATGAGTCAGGCGCCGTGCGGGTGGTGTACCGGCTCATCCTTGCTATCGTCGGTGGGCTTATACGGAACTTATAGTACTTAGTTGTGGAGATATTCAGCCAGATGTTGTTTGTAGCCTGGAGCCACCTGCGCCTGGCAAAGCTGTTCACTTGACAAGGATTAATATGACGCGAAGGAAGTATATGGATCATGCAGCACAATATGCACATTTGCGCGCATGTTCACAAACAAATAGATCATCTCAGTTCAGAACAAAGGTTGGTTGGTCGGTTGGTTGGTTGGTTGGTTGGTTGGTTGGTCGGTCCAGTGCCGGGGCAGCTGTGCGGTGCGTCGTAAGAGTTACAGCGCCTGCGTTGCTATGAGACATTCCTCCTATAAATGAACTGCTGGATCTACATGAGAAACATATGTCGATTTGTGATTTGTACTCGGGCTACTAGACGGATTGCTGCGTTGTTCTCGCCAGGTGTCGGAACGGACTCTTCACGTCTGACACAGTGTGTGCGGCCCCCACAGGCAGCGTGATCCTCAAACCTGCTTGCCACTCTACCTTTCGCGGGTTCATGACACGATGCGTTGGTTGTTTGGAGATTGGTGTGCTTCCGTTGCTGATGCCGTCTCATTTCCGTGGCAGCTGTACGAGATCGATGACAACCCGATGCGGAAGGAGTTCCTGGACGGGCTGTTCCAGTTCATGCAGGACCGAGGTAAGCGGCTGACCAGTCCCGCTGGTCAGGTGGCTGGACGTCAGGCCATGTCACATAAGCGACGATAATCCGGCTAAGGGCAAGCCGGCTGGCGTGCTTACAGTTCTTGCATCATACCAGTGCAATGTCAGGAACAAAACTTCAAACGGGTACACCTGGAGTGGTTCCTGGCCGAGACAGCCGGATCCAACCACCGTTGACCCTTGGGCCGCCTCGGGTGTGTTGCGCGTCCGCCCACCGCCTGTCAGCGCGCCAGCCAGCTGTGAACGCCGGCGTGTCGCCAGGCCGGCCCCGCCCGGCGACTCGGCCGCCGTTCCCGCTGCCGTGGCCCAACTTGCGGCGTTCTTCAGCCGCGCGCGGGCCGGCGGGGTCGCGGGAACATGCGGCGACATGTCGGCGACAGGTCCGACAGGCGCGGTGCGAGCGGTCACTAACTGGTCCGGGCCCGCCGCCGCCGCCGCCGCCGCACCTGTGCACAGGAGACGAACCGTGCGGGGGCGCGCAGCTGCTGCCGGGCGCAGGCAGCCCGGGGCCGATGTCATGTGATGTCGGCCCACAGCACGGACGAGCGGCGAGCCCCGGCGCCGGCTGACGGACGTCGGTGGCGACGGTCGTCGGCGCCGATGCGGGGCAGCTGCCGCCTTCGGGGCGCCGTCCGCACCTCGTGCGGCGCCAGCGGACTTCCGGCGTGTGGCTACGGCCAGCCGCCGGAAGCCTCTCGCGCTCGCCCCGAGCCGCGGCCGGCTGACCGTCCCCTGGCCTCGGCGCCGGCGTCGACGTCACTGCCGTCGACGCCCGTCCGAGTCGGCGAAAACAGTGTGGGAGCTGCGGCTGCTGAGCGGCGCCGAGGAAAGGCTTCAATTTTTGAGAAGAAGCTCCAGTGAGGACTGAGACACACGTTTTCCGTGAAAGATATTTACCGCTGACGATAAAGAAGTTTCGAGGGGAAAACGGCTTGATAGCTGAACATCAGCTGTGCAGTTGTTAATATCAATTTCGCCTGGTTCTGGGGTTCTGGTCAACAGACAGACAGACAGACAGACAGACAAGTAACGGCGCCGAACAGGCAGAGTAACCGTCTCTTTTGCCGATGATTGCATACACTGAATTCACCGGAAAAGGCCTCCGTCAGTGGCGTGTCAGGCTTTCGTGTCCAGGCGGCGGGATAGTTTGCAGCGTGCGATGACTCACCCAGCGTCGCAGTGCGCGCCGGCGTAGTCCAGCTGATCCTTACCATAGGTCGCTGTCACGTCACAGGTCCCAGCCGCGACCGTTCATCACCGCATGTGTCATCCGCTTCGAGATGCCCGCCGTGCCCCCCCCCCCCCCCTCCCCTCCCCCTGCCGCCGCTGGGCTGCCGCGGACGAGCCTCCCTTCTCCGACGGATGGTGAGCGGTCCACCTCCATGCAGTCGGCGGGCCTCCATCTCCGTACGGTCTGTAGACCGCCTTCTCCGCACGATCTGCCGCCGTCTCCGTATGGTCTGTTGAGCGGCCTTCTTCGCACGATCTGCTGCCGTCTCCGCACGGTCTGTGGACCTGCCATCTCTTTACGGTCTGCGGACTTACCGTCTCCGTACGGTCTATAGACCTGCCGTCTCCGCACGGTCCATAGACCCGCCGTCTCCGTACGGTCTATAGACCTGCCATCTCCTTACGGTCCGCGGACTTACCGTCTCCGTACGGTCCATAGACCTGCCGTCTCCGTACGATCTATAGACCTGCCGTCTCCGTACGGTCTGCGGACCCGCCGTCCCCGCACGGTCTGCGGACCCGCCATCTCCTTACGGTCTGCGGACTTACCGTATCCGTGCGGTCTGCTGTCGTCCACGCACGGTCTGTGGACCCGCCGTTCCCCCACCTTCTGCGGACCTGCCGTCTCTGCACGGTTTGTGAACCCGCCGTCCCCGCACGGCGCGAGCCCGCCTCTGTGCCCGCCCACATTCCGGGTCGGGCCGTCCCGATGTACGCTGACCCCGTTGACACGGCCGTGTTCCGTCGCCTGCCCACCATCAATTACACGTCGCCGACCGAACGCCGCTGCGCCACAACAGAAGTCTGACAGCTTCAAAACAACCGCGATGTGGAGCCCAGAGGGCGGTAATGACTTGCAGAGCCATCCGGCTGCTAATGACGGAGATAAAGAGCAAGGCTGCCTGAAAAACGAGCGGTTCGTCTTGCTTGCCGCGCCGTCTTTGCCCTTTCAAACGCGGGAATTGCATCTGTCCAATAACGCCAGTTGCATATGCTGTGAGTTTGGGCACCTGGGAGATTTTAAGCGGATTGAGCATACCGACAAGCTTTTGAATTATGTCTTCGTAGAACAAACGTAAAATGTCTGTTTGCAAGTGACAATAAACTTAAAACCACTCCTTAACTGCCACTGCTAAACTTTTACCAATTTTTCTGTTTGTCTTCGTTTGTATTTCTCGTGACTAAATTGCTGCCATAATTAAAAGACAAGCACATATCCGCCTCTCACTGCGCCAACGTCAGGGCCAACATTTTGTTAAATTATCAAAACGTAAAGCACAGAGACTTGGCAAAACAAGGATGCAAAACGAATCATGAGAATATGTTCGATCTTTCTATTCACTTAACTAAAAAAAGTGATTGCTGGGCTCGCTCGCCTTTAAGGGTGGGGTAACGTCGGGAACATTTCCGGTAGTAAAACATTTCATCACATTTACACGCACCTCTAGGCGTATCGAAAAAAGGCTGCTAAAAAAGCTTGCCGTCAACACTGTTTCTCACCGGTAGCATACTGCTGCCGCTGTTCTCCATCTCATGCGTGCGAAGTGTTACTGAGCCCGCCTGTTCTAGAGCGTTGACATTCGTTGTCGCTCCCCCGGCGCCTTGCCCCCCAGCATCGTACCGGGCTCGTCTTTGTCATTGTCCATCACCTCGACCAGCTACGTCCATTCATCTTCTGAGTTAAATCACCCATCTGAAGTGGTCACCGACGGGGGGTCTGCTAAGTAACGTGCTCCATAAACCCATAACGTGCTAGTGTCCAACGCTCAAAGGTCAGGCAGTGCAAAAAGACACTGTTTCACTTCATCACGTCCACGTGGAGGAAAAAGCGGACGGTTCTCGACAAGAAACGCGCCTTTTCTCTGTAGCTTTACGCCGAGGGCTTTACTGCTGCGCTGGTGATTCTACTTGATTGATAGCCGCAGTAACCCTTTAAATGATTTGTCCCGCGCCGGCTTAGATAATCCATCCAGCCAGTTCAAGGCTAGGAGAATGGAGCTCACAATGCAGTTTGCCGTAGAACATGTCAGGCTCAGTTTTGCCATTTTCAGCTGTGTCTGGGTAAATTTTAGTATTGATAGGTAAGGCCGAAAACGCACATCAGACGAATCTGTTTTGCGAATGGAGCGCCGCTATTCATCTGATTTTTCTGACCAACAGGTTTTCCAGATCATTGTGCGATATGAATTCCTGAATTGTCAAATTCTCCTTTCTCAATATTGTGTCAGTCGTGTACGGCTTTCATTTCCACGCAGTAGCGGCGCCCGGGCGGGCAGACTCGTGCGTTGTCACCGCTCCACCACCTGCGTTGTCACCGCTCCACCACCGCCACGTGTGGAGGCGGCTTGAACAGAGCCCTGCGCCCGGCAGGTCACGATACCCAATTAGATGGCGTAAAGCCATCAAACGGGACACAAACCCTTTCACTCGCCCTGGACGCCGGCCCTAAAAGGAACGCCATGGCTTCATAAATCCCGTATAGCTTTGTTGATAGAGCCGGCTGCCGCTCCCATGCTGGCTTACCTGGATTTAATATTGTTTAAAGGCGCTGTTGGTGGCGTATAAGGTTAATCTTGGCTTTGGCTACCTCCATCGTCAGGCTTAAGCACAGTGATCCGGCCGGGCCATCCCGGCATGGCAAAGACGTTTGAACTTTATAGCCAATCTTCCGATGTCCTTCCCACGTGATACAGTGGTCATTCTAATTTAGTGCATACCTTGCGACCGATCCCGGGACGTAAACCAGATTGAATATCGGATAGACGGTCGTGGAACGGTGTGTTTTTGCCCTGGCTGGCATTGGGATGGCGCGCGGTGTTGCAAGGTGAGCCATATAACAGACGATCCAGGGAACCGGTCTAGAACAGATTTATGGCTCGCTGCACCTTGTTACTGGCACAACCTGTCTAACTTTGTTGTACAGCACCCATTGTAAAGCGATTGTTTGACAGGCTTTGGGTGATGCTGTATTTGCGTCGCGGCATGATGAGCACGTGATGGCATGATACATGATCAGTGAAGATCTGTATGGTACCTTTCGGGAGAAGTCTTATCTAAGCTTTTTTAAATACGGATCAATGTGGTTGGTTCTTTCATGCATTGTGTTGTGACCCGGCGTATTTCCCGAGTCGTTCTTCCGTTCTTTGTTGTGTTGTCTTTAATGCATGACTGCCGAACAGTTCGACATCCTGGCGTTGTATAGTGGGATTTTGTGTCTTGCGGTCAATTGGGAGGGTGAGTCCTGTGTACTCCATGCTCCATCTGCGCATCTCGAGGTCGGCCACTCTCCTACTGGACCAGATCGTTGGAGCAAGATGACTCAGACGACTTTCCACCTGTGCCCGCTATTTCGGACCTTGAGCCAGCTGTGACCAGCTGCACAGCACCGGCTCGGACCGCTGCAGACGCGGCCAGCCTGGTGCCACGCTGGAGCTGTGTCCGCCCATGCACGACTGGAGCTGTGTCCGCCCATGGACGGCCCGTGCAGCTGTGGCGGCCTCCCGCCAGCCCTCCATGCCAGTCCGGCGGTGCAATATCGGGGTATTTGCCTGCCTCGACAGGCTGTCCGCGGATCCAATCTGTCCGTAATGACGACCATCACTGGCACATAAACCACTTGCCGGGTTATAAAGTGAGTCACCGGCGCGCTCTAATGCCGCCACTAGTGTTCTACCTGTTACAAAGCGGCAGATGAGTGTGCGGTTTTTACCAGTGGCGGCGCCCCGTGGCGCCCCAGGTCGGCTGACTCGGCGCCGGATCTGAGGATATGCAGCACCCCGGCGGCCTGATCGCACCGGCGCCGGATCTGAGGATATGCAGCACCCCGGCGGCCGCACCGGCCGGGGCCTGATCGCACCGGCGCCGGGTCTGGGGATATGCAGCACCCCGGCGGCCCCACCGGCCGGGGCCTGATCGCACCGGCGCCGGATCTGGGGATATGCAGCACCCCGGCGGCCACACCGGCCGGGGCCTGATCGCACCGGCGTCGGATCCGGCCGTCGCCCGCAGCGCCCCTCCTGTTCTCATGATGAATTAGGCATTGCTCCGGCTCATAAGAGACGGGAGCCCCCGTCGGGGCCGGTGCTGCCCGTGAATATCAAACCGGACCGATGCGGCCCCGGCTCTAAACCGGACAGGCGATGGGGCATTTGTATCGACGTGGTGGGCGCTGGCACGGAGGGAGAGGCTCTGCTGGAAGGGGTCAGGTCAGGCGACCTATGGTAGGATGAACGGGAGCCGTCCGATGGACGGCTACTTAGTTCTTTATATTTGAGAGTGCTATGTGATGTTGGGCACTATGTTTTTAAGCTTTGTTCTATGTCGCTGCCTTGGGATTGGACAGCAATGGAGGGAACTATGCTGTCGGCGGATGTTGCTTGGGTGCAGTGGAGCTGTTGTTTCCAAACGCTTGTCCGCCGCCGTGTCCATCGTGGTTTATATGGCAGAAGTTGGGAGACGAAGTGCTGGTTCCACTCAGAAGACCGCCGCTTTTCGGCGAGGGAGTGCCTTGACAGCGATCGTGTTTTCCTTGTTTTGAAACACCTGTAAAGCTGGCAAAAACACGCATCAGATTCGTGCTCTCGAGACAAGCAAAAAGCTGCCGCCAAAAAAGTGCGTAATGACGTTTCACGTCGTCAAGATGTGGAGATGGGACGGAACTTGAGTGCCAGCCCGCGCAGTGACGCTCGTTGAGGCGGTGCGCAGCCCCGCTCTCTGGCTACCCAGCCATGTCCGGCGGCAAACATACCCACCTGGACAGATAGCGGAACGATTTGACGGCATGCTTCTCGTTTTTACAGGGACTCCGATAAACCGTCTGCCAATCATGGCGAAGCAGGTGTTGGACATGTACGAGCTGTACAACTTGGTGGTGGCGCAGGGCGGTCTTGTGCAGGTCATCAACAAGAAGCTGTGGCAGGAGATCATTAAGGGCCTGAAGCTGCCCTCCTCCATCACCTCCGCAGCCTTCACCCTGCGCACACAGTAAGTTCAAACCGATGCAGAAGCGTCTTCCGAGCACTCGATGTGTAGAGGTTGCGGTAACCTCCGTAAGTTCGTGACTGGGATCAAATCTGCTTCAACCCAATTTGGTTCCTGCTAATTTCTCCATCTAATTAACACGAGCAGCTCTACATGATTGGCTCATAGTGCATGTTGCTCCGTGTGTGGCCGATTGCCTTCCGAGATAAATGCAAGTACGGGACGAAATCTCGTCAGGTCGGCCATACACTGGCCATATGTCGCAAGAACCACAAACGTTGCCTGCAAGCGAACAACTGAACGTAAATAATAAAAGCATTTGATGATCGCGGGACGTTTGGCGGCTGGCGGTGGGCCTCAAGCCCTCAACTCATTCTGCAGGCCCGCGGCCTGACGATACTTAATTAAAGATAGCTGAATACGATCAGGATGGGAATGGACATGACCTGAACTGTTGGGTTTGACACGTGATACATCGAGTGCCCATCAGTTTTCCAAACTGTGTTTAATTTGGGTGATTATCACGCTATTTGGCGTAGTGGAATAAAGATCATGCGGTTCATTTGAATTATGGAGTGAGTTAATGATGCCAAATTATGTAACCGTGTAACGATAATATCGTCCAGCACAAAGGTTAATCGATTTACTTCGATGCACTATCAATTAGGAAACAGGTCAACGAGCATGTTCTCGGTTCGAATGAACTCCAGGCTATAAATATAATGACCATACCTTGCATGCAATCCGATCCGTTTCTATCTCGAGCACTGATCGTCATCAGATGCCGCGGTCAAGACTCAGCTCATAACTACGCCGCTCTTGCGTCCTTGGTTGGTGTCTGTTGCCGCGCGCTGCGGGTCCAAGCCACCAGCAAAATCAGGTCAATCTTCTTTAGGTTGTACAACCTGAACCTCGGTACCAATTCATCTGCGGTGAAGCGCTCTTTGATTCCACACGAAAGTGAGAGGAAACTCTGTGCCGTTCTGCGCCAAATGGACTGCATGTCTCCTGCCGTTAGGAGCACCTCCATTTCACCGCGAGGCTCACTAGCTCCACCTGCAGAAGTGGCCGCGAGAGCTCGCGACGCCTGCAACCTGAAACTTGAGGAGTCGGCAATATTACCGGGTATTGTTTTGCGTCGGGATTATTGTCACACAGTGCCGTGTGCAAATATAATTTTCCTACAGTGCTCTCGCTCCCTAAAGCCCGGCCCGTGATGTTTTGCAGACGGGTCCGCTGCTGAGAAGTGCGTGCTGTCCCGCTGCAGCTCAGCAGCGCGTTAGCAGCGGGCGGACGCCCTGCCTTATCCGCCCTGACGTCACGCAATAATGTCCCGGGTCACCGACGGATGGCGCCCGTAATGACCGCCTAATGAGACGGGCACGGGGGGAGGGAACAGCCGGGACGCTGCCGCTGTTGCAATGGCCGCTGCCCGCCGGCGCCGCCCGTTCTGTCCGCACTGGACGTGGCTCACCAGGCGTGGCCGGACCAATCAGTGCCTGCCACGACGTTTATGATGTTACCGGCCTCCTTCATTGCATGTTACGAGTAGTCTGCTGTCCGACCAAGTCTTATTTGAACGACAAAACCGTTTTTGACTTGACTGGCAAGGCCTAGAATGGCCTCGAGGTTTTCGAAAGAGAGCATCTTTGCAAGCACTGATTGGAGCTCCACACGGCTTGATGATGATGATCGTTCGATTTAGGGGCGTTTCGACTGCAGCGGCATTTTGCGCCAACTCCATAGATTGCCACCGACGTCGAGCACAAGTCAGCACAGTTTCACGCTGTATAAATGTTTGGGTTTTTGATAGACAGCTGTTCAATCAGTTGTTCAGCGTGACTATCTACAGCATTGCATTAATTCAAACTTTTGCTCTTCCCATTCAATTAACGTGGTGAACGTAAAACTTCCGAATCGCGAAAAAGGAAACATGCGTCAAAATTGACCCCTGCTCTCGACGACCCGGCATCGCGGCCGCACAAGATCAGTGCATTTTGGCGCAACAGAAAACAAACAGCGTCTCTTGATCCGGGCGAGCCCAACTGTTCGGCCGGCCACGGTCTCCTGAGCGTCAACCACAGGTCCGCTCGGTTCGGGCGGGCTTTAACGGTTGATGTCAGATGTCAGCAAGCAGAGCAGCTGCAGACCCGAAGCCAGCTACACATTGTAAGCATAAAAGCGCCCCAAAACACTCACTGGGCGACCTCAGCGTTGTCCGACCATAGCGCGTGGTAGTGGTCGACTGAGGTGCGGCCAGTGACGCGTTTTCCGAAGCCCGTCTGGGCTGCAGCGTGCGGCGGCCCACGCTGACAGACACCGCACCATGAAAATTACGGCTGCAGGAGGAAAGGATGTGGGAAAAAGCCGGGATGGATATGGTGGTATCTGCGTCGTTGTTCGTAAGAAAATGTACTTCAGGTATTTAGTTGGTATGACAGAAATACGTACACAACAGTTCGCATGCAAATGTTTATATGTTATAAGTAAGCATGGTAGATGTTCGTATTGATAAAAGTTTGTCAAGGCAAAAGTTTGCATTGAAAATTTGGTACGCATGAGGTATGTGCGTACATGTACGTTAATGATTACACGCATGCAAAGGGTCGTAGCGTGTGAAGAATGCTTGACAAAAATACGTGCGTAAAAGCTCGCAAGGGATGAAGCTAATCCAAAAGCTTGTAAACATTAGCCATAAGGTCACTAGTTTCATTAATCATGCTGATATGGAGGGTGTTCCAAGACAGATCGACCACCGGGACACCAAATTACGGACCCTCAGCTCTCAGATTTCACTGGGATTTGGTCTCCGCGGGTTGATCTAATGCATAGAATTTGACTAGGTAAGTTTTAGCTCTATCCGTGCCAGCAAGGTCCTAATGAAAGCAGGTACATCGAAGCGGGTGTATGAGGTGTATCTTTCTCCCCGGAATCTGCTCTGACGCTTATATCGGGTGTCACACGCTCGTCTGCCCGGCCGCATTACACGAGCGAGCTGACCCTGCCACAGCCATCAGCTAGCCTGCGCGGCACACTCAGAAGGCCTGGAGCGGGGCGTCGACTCGGCCATCGTCATGGTAACAGAGCAATTGGATACACAGCAAACACGGCAGATGGTCCGCGATGAACATCTCACCTGTCGTCCCTTCCATTCCAGGAACGTCTTGCGCTGCTGCCGTTGATTCGGATTCCTTTGCTGGCCGCCGGATAACATTTAGTTTATTGACATGAATATTTAGGCTAGTCATAATTTTGGACCTGATCTATGAAATGACCGTAGTCTCTGGCTTGCCCAGCCCCCCGTCCCCGGTCCACGGGATATGATGGTTCCCGCAGCGACCAAGCATCAGAAACACGATGCCATGGTTGGGGATCTGTACTCGAGCCCGCGCTACACAGTTGCAGACGATCTTTTATTTATGTACTTTGTCAAACAAAATGTATCCCAATTAAAAAGATTTACCCTACGGGCCTCGCACATTTCATGATGCATTGTCGTTAGAACTTTGGCGCAGGTATTTTTGTCAGACGAACTTTACCCTGACGAATATTGGCGCACGAACTTTACCCGCCTGCATTGTATCGGCACACAAACGTTGGCGTGCATAATTCGTCAAGCAAACTTTGAGTGCAATTAGCTGCGCACGAACCTTTTTCACACCAACATTCACGATCACAAACATTTTTTGTCGAACATACGAACTTTATCCCATGCGAACTTTGCGCTCCACGCACTTTGTCTCGACAAACTTCAGACATGCGAACTTTGCCCTACGCACAATTGCCACACGAAGTTTTTTATCCGTGCTTTCGTCAGCAACCCGACAACTACACAGGTCAAGTCATTTTTACAACAAGGAACGAAAACATCGCTCTGTCGGATGCCGTGTCCCTGAACTTTGTCTATCTGGCCATGTTCCGTCCGGAACATTGCTCGCCGGGCAACGTCAGGTGCAGAGACGTCGTCGCCGCATGCTAAACGTCGTCGCATGCTGTGTAGCAATGCCGCGGCACCGAGAACTGACCGCCGCCCCCGGATGACTTTCCATATTCCTACATCACGAGACATATTGGGTTCTAATCCCTCCTGACCTCTGCCGCCCTGTCTGCCCGGCCGCTGCCTCCTCTGCTGTGTCCCCTCTCTCCCCCACTTCCTCCCTCCTCCGCATGTCTCGCCATGCCCTTCTGTATCCTCCGCCTGTGCCCACATCTCCCGCGTTAGTCTTCCGCTTCCTGCTATGCTTCGTCCTCTGCCTCTTCCTCTGCTTCTCCGTTTCCTCCCTCCTCTGTCAGTTTCACACCCTGATGTCTTCTTTACCTCTTACCGCCTCTGCCGGTGCTTCCCTCTGTATCACCCTGTCACTCCGCTCTGTCTCTCTGCTCCTTGGTCACTCTGCCGGTCTCCTTCCTCTGTCGGTCTCTCCCCCTCTGTTCTCCGCTGCCCGCCTGGTCGTGTCATCGCGGACTGAGCCCGCCGGCAAAAACCGGCGGTGCCAGAGGTGGCCAGTCGGCGAGGCCGGCGGCCGCCGTCGGCTGAGCGACGCCCGGCGCGGCGCGGCCCACATAAAAAGATGCATCGCCGGATAAAGGCGGCCGCAGCCTGCAATTACAGAAATATTAACATTCTAATTCCTCCTAACCACGGGGTGGAGACGGGATTGGCTCCGTTGTGCTGTTGGCCATGTGGCTGAGCGCGTAGGGAGAATGGACGGCTGCGTTGAACGCGGCGTGAAAGAGCGGGCTGCTGTGGTCTCCGGGAACATGTCAGCCACATCGTGAGCGTCATCAGCGTCATCTGCGATGTCCTGCGATATCGTACAGACCTTAACTTTCCGAAGTGAAGGCGTTAGTAAACCTGGACATACCAACTCGATGACTGTGTGCACCGCTTGTGAGGAAAAACACACGACTTCAACACCAAACGTTGGATGCACTCATCTTGCGTCAGGTCAGGTCTTCCGTATGTGTTAGTCTGCGCTGCTCGAGCGATGCTCGTGTAGCGCACGCTTGGCGGGCGATGTCTGCTGGTACTATCGGAACCTCACCTTCATATACAATCAGCACGTTGGAGGTCAGTTATGGAAAGCGACGCTTTCAAAGCAAGCACATACTTATGATGCGATACGGAGTGATAATACAAAGATCTTACATTTGTGTTACGTTATACGTCGTTGCTCAGCGTGTGTGTGGTATCAGTGTAGATACGTGACGGTGCAAGTTATTTCACAACTAGACACCAAATGGCCACTTCAGTTTCGATGGATGGAGTCTGATGCCATGAATGTCGGCTGTTCACATGATGTGTTGCCCGCAATGTCCCCTTCAACGCGTCATAAACCCACTGATCACATATCGGTCGGAGTCAGTATGCAGACGCGGTGCCATGCCCGCTGCCCTCGGCGAGGTGGCAGGCGGACCCGCTGCCGGGCTGGGGGCACACTGCAGCCTCTGCAATATTACACAAACAATTACTCGATCCCATCGGTCACGAGCACACGCCGCAGCCTTGGCCGGCCGGTTCTAGGATTTAATATCAATAAAACAGGGGTGGCAATGGTTTCCATCACGCGAGCGGTTCCCAGAGGCGGCGCGAACTCGGCGGAGCTCGCCTGGAATGGTGGTGCGCGGTGGGCGTCAGACGCCAGAGTCCGCACCTCGGACTCCAGCCTCGCGGCCCAGAGGCGACCAAGTCAGCGGTGTGCCGATCTGATGTCCACGAGTCGGCCGACGGCCTGTGGGACCGTGCCCCTCCAGCACCGAAACATGCGGTACAAAAGAACAGGCAGGCGTTTTGCGCTACCTTTAGGGCATGCATTAAGACCCAAACTGAACACATCTTTTCGTAGTAACAAAACGACTGGCGAAACGAGAGGCATGCATGCACGAGAGACAGAGACTTACCACCCAAATTAGGAGAGACTTTGGATAAGCCCAATGCTTCAAACTCAGAGAGCTGATGCTGGATCTGCAATGAGCAGCCAGAGCGGAACAATGCGCAGAACCGGCTGAGTTGTGTGAATCACCGAGGGCGTTCATTGGTCGCACTGCTCAGCGGTCTCGCACTAGATGCCGCAGGAAGCGGTACGCAGGGTCGCTCAGATGGACTTGCAATGAGGCGGAATGAGTAGCCGCTGGTACCTGGGCTGGCACTTGGGTTGGTGCCTGGACTCCATCAAGCTTCACAATCACACCCCAGAGGTCGCGCGGTACAGACCTCTAGCACCTGTTCGGGGGACAGCAGCGCCGCCGCTGCTGTGGGCGGCCCCGCCAGCCCGCCGCAGGCGGCGGCTCCGTGGCGTGCGGCGGCTCCGTGCATCACGGCTGCAATCAGCGGCGCGCTCGGTCACGTGCCCCGGCCCCAGAGCCGCGCCCCGAGCCAGAGCCGCTGCGGAGTCGAGCCTTGAGCTTCGGAGCCGTGCCCTGAGCTTCGGAGCCGCGCCCCGAGCCAGAGTCGCTTCGGAGTCGAGCCTTGAGCTTCGGAGCCGCGCCCCGAGTCAGAGTCGTTTCGGAGTCGAGCCTTGAGCTTCGGAGCAGCGCCCCGAGCCAGAGCCGCTTCGGAGCCGCGCCCTGAGCTTCGGAGCCGTACCGCGAGCGAGAGCCGCTTCGGAACTGCGCCCCGAGCCAGAGCCGCTTCGGAGCCGCGCCCCGAGCCAGAGTCACCTCGGAGCCGCACCCTTAGCTTCGGAGCCGCGCCCTGAGCTTCGGAACCGTACCCCGAGCGAGAGCCGCTTCGGAACTGCGCCCCGAGCCAGAGCCGCTTCTGAGCTGCGCCCCGAGCCAGAGCCACTTCGGAACTGCGCTTCGGGGCAGGGCCGCTTCAGAGCCGCGCCCCGAGCCAGAGCCACTTCGGCGCCGCACTCTGAGCTGCGGAGCCGTGCCCCGAGCCAGAGCCGCTTCGGAGCCGCAGCCTGAGCCGGAGCTGCGCCCCGAGCCAGAGCCGCTTCGGAGTCGCAGCTCGAGTCAGAGCTCCGCGATCAGCGCCCGGTCGGGTCGGTCGGCCTGACGACTTCGGATGCGAGGCGCTCAGGCTCTGCTTGGGCGCCGCGTCCTGCCTCAGGCAGCGGTCCAGCCTCAGCCTGGCTGACACGGCCGGGGCAGGGCAGTGCCAGACAGGTACACGATGCTGCAGATGCTCGAGTTCGAGGACTGTAGTACTGGGTGTCCGGCCTCTGCCGCTTCGAGCCCTGCATCACATACCCAAGCTGTTCGTGTGGTACAGCGAGGTCTCCATTGTGCCGCAGGTACATGAAGTACCTGTACCCGTACGAGTGTCAGAAGCAGGGCCTCAGCAGCCCGTCCGAGCTGCAGGTGGCTATCGACGGTAACCGGCGCGAGGGCCGCCGCAGCACCTACAACAACGCCTCCTACGCCGACCTGATGCAGAGGTCACCACTGATGGCCGGGTAGGTACACCACCCGCACTCGGCGGACAGCAGAGGGATAAACCAAAGCTGCATTTGCGTTTCAGACGGCTGATTTAAACATTTCTTTCGGCTCCGAACCTTTGTGCACGTATCCGGCCTTGCATAGGCTTGTCTGCAGCCAGAAATGTGTATGGATGGTATGTGTCGATGCCCAACCCGCAGAAACCTCCCATGGCGGCTTCCCTCTTGGAACATTTTAAAAACAAATACGTGTCCCGCATCACCTGAGCAATGGCATATGTTCTGCATCTGACCAGTGCTGTTGACACCCTCTGATGCCGTTCCAGATCGATGGCCCAGTCGTTTGGACTCGCGAACGGGCTGCCAACGACACTGCAGCAGTCGGGACTGTCCCCGCTTCCTCTGGTCACCAGCCGACCCGGGGCCAACGCGGCCGCTCACGGTCACCCGCTGCCCCCCAGTAAGTGGCGGACCTGGTGGCGCGCGGAACCCGGTGTCGGCACACGGGGCCCGGTGGCGGCACACGGTGCCCGGTGGCGTTGGACGGTGCCCGGTGGCGACGCGCGGGACCCGGTGTCGGCACACGGGACCCGGTGGCGGCACACTGTGCCTGGTGGCGGCACACGGGGCCCGGTGGCGGCACAGGTGGCGGCGGCACACGGGGCCCGGTGGCGTTGGACGGTGCCCGGTGGCGGCACACGGTGCCTGGTGGCGGCACACGGGACCCGGTGGCGGCACACGGTGCCTGGTGGCGGCACACGGGACCCGGTGGCGGCACACGGGGCCCGGTGGCGGCACACGGGGCCCGGTGGCGTTGGACGGTGCCCGGTGGCGGCACACGGTGCCTGGTGGCGGCACACGGGACCCGGTGGCGGCACACGGTTCCTGGTGGCGGCACACGGGACCCGGTGGCGGCACACGGTGCCCGGTGGCGGCACACGGGGCCCGGTGGCGTTGGACGGTGCCCGGTGGCGGCACACGGTGCCTGGTGGCGGCACACGGGACCCGGTGGCGGCACACGGGGCCCGGTGGCGGCGCGCGGGACCCGGTGGCGGCGCGCGGGACCCGGTGGCGGCGGGCGGTGCGCGATGGCGGCACACGGGGCCCGGTGGCAGCGTGCTCCGCCGGCGCAGAGCGAAGGACACGCGGAGACTACAGCGGGCGAGCGGGCGGCCGCATACATTCAACGCGCGCCAAGAAATTGCTGCGTGCTCTGGTGTAGAGCATTCGGCGATGATCAGCGGCGGGGAGTGGTATGGTTTCTCCTGTCAGCGCGCGACCTGGGCCAAACCTAACAGGGATTACCCGCGGTTCCCCGCCATGTAACAATGCGATCCGCTGTTTTGCCACGGCCATATTATGTATGGTCCATTGTGCTTATCTGCCGTATTCGCCGCGTAAATGCTCACTAAACGATTCCATGTGTTCAAATAATGTGTCCCACATCCCGAAATCACCGCCGTTTTAGCCAAACGTCCGAAAATCGCCCTCATCCATCCGTTTTTACCACATGCCGTTTTCCGTCTGATTTTTTCATAATCGATCTCGCTCCATCACGCTGCTGTCGGAACCGATGTCTCCAGTAGCCCGTGGACCCCACTTCGGTCCAGAAAACCAGGGGAACAACGCCGCAGGGCCGCGTCCGAAACAGACGAGCTGTTAAATCGTCCGGTGCGGTCTCACGGGTGCCCCATTTAAAACATCGTTACCGCTGGGCGGCGGCCGGCGGCCCGCCGTGGTGGATTTGCATAGCGGGTCGGCCGGCAGCGGCCCCGGCCGGTCAGCTGACGCCACCGCCGGCATCAGCGACGCATCGTCGGCCGCTTTACGAGCTGGCAGCGCGCGCTTGCCCCGCGCTCTTGATTGCGAAGCTGGCCGGCGCCGGCTCCCGAAAGCCCAGCCGTTCCCATATTTGCCGCGGACGTGCGTGCTGCCGCGCCGTAGCCGGCTATTTTGATTGGCTGTTCTGGCACTGTGATCGCGCCCGGCCGTCGCCAGCCTTGCCCGTGGCCGCCCGGTGACATATTTGGCGGTCGGTAGACAATTACCGGCCACTTTGATTTCCACTTGGCCGATTACCCGGCCATAAAAACCCGATGGAATTGTCGAGCATGTGACAAGGCTGCAGTGGAGGCGCGGCAACTGTCGCTTTGTGGGGGGGAAACGGCCGATGCGTCATCGCAGGTCGGTGTCTGCTTCATTGTCTCCCAGCACCAGGCCTGCACGTGGCAGCCTGTGACGGTATTGTTCTCAGTCCGCTCTGTGGGCTGCTCAGTAAGATGCGCTCGATTGCGCCTGCGAACGGGACCGTCCCGGGCTGAAGCTCCGCGTCCACAGCGCAGTCACAGGCACTGACGTCACCTTTCGGTCTGTTAGCTCTGCTGCGGCACTGAATCTTCTTCCCTGGCGATCTCTGCGGACAAAGGCTGCACTGTGATGCCCTGCAGCCTTGACTATCTCTTGCGTCCGATGCTGATGGGAATCAGCGTACATCATCATAACACATACTTACCGGTCTCGTGCTGGCGCTGTGCACCCGGACGTTCACAACGTGCCCGGGGAGAGCCGCCTGGTGCCCGGGAGGCCCCCCACGCGGCGCGGCTTCTCCAGCCTGGCGGAGCAGCCCGTGGGCCGGACAGTGCGGCGGCCAGCTGCAGCGCTCGCGATCGCTGGTGGGACATTAACGTCCGTCAGCCGCCCCGGGGCTCCGTTTACGACGCTGGGGTGGGGGTACGGCACAGGAGTCCCTGACGAGGACTGAGCCGCTGGCCTGCCGAGCCAGCCGGAGCCCCTGGCGAGAGCTGAGAGGTGCCGCCGATCTGCCGAGCTAGCTGGAGTCCCTGGCGAGAGCTGGGAGGTGCCGCCGGTCTGCCGAGCTAGCTGGAGTCCCTGGCGAGAGCTGAGGGGTGCCGCCGGTCCGCCGAGCTAGCTGGAGTCCCTGGCGAGAGCTGAGGGGTGCCGCCGGTCTGCCGAGCTAGCTGGAGTCCCTGGCGAGAGCTGAGGGGTGCCGCCGGTCTGCCGAGCCAGCCGGAGCCCCTGGCGAGAGCTGAGAGGTGCCGCCGATCTGCCGAGCTAGCTGGGGTCCCTGGCGAGAGCTGAGAGGTGCCGCCGGTCTGCCGAGCTAGCTTGAGTCCCTGGCGAGAGCTGAGAGGTGCCGCCGGTCTGCCGAGCTAGCTGGAGTCCCTGGCGAGAGCTGAGGGGTGCCGCCGGTCTGCCGAGCTAGCTGGAGTCCCTGGCGAGAGCTGAGGGGTGCCTCCAGTCTGCCGAGCTAGCTGGAGTCCCTGGCGAGAGCTGAGAGGTGCCGCCGGTCTACCGAGCCAGCCGGAGCCCGCAAGAGGGCCCATCCCAGTACGGACGGTGGCTGATGGCAGGCTTATGGCCGCGGGCTTTTCAAGTTGCGTAGGAGTTCAGGACTCCTGTGCCGGGGAGAGGGGCAGCGATGAACGCGGACCGAATGCTACGCCGTCCCAGCCAAGAGCAAGGCAACAGTCACACCTCGGGTCTCCACTGTGGCGGCGATCTGACCGTTCCGCGTCCTGCCGTTGCAGGCTCTCCGTTTCTGGCCGGCATGTGTCCGCCGGGGATGCCGACTCCCAACGACACGCTGATGACGCTGTGGAACCTGTACAGCAACAGACAGCCGCCGCCGTCGCCGCCGCTCAGGAGGCCCGAGGGCATGGGCCTGGCGCCGCAGAGCGAGGCCCTCAACCTCGGCGTTCACAGGGAGATGGCCAGGTGAGGTGTGGTTAATCTGAACATTGTCTTTGAAGGGGCTTTGTCAGATTAGTGGCTGCGACAATAGCAGAGTGATGCGTCTCGTCTCGGGGTGTGTTCACAGCATTTAACATTGGGGACACATGTCAAGTCCCGCGAGGGCCTGGCGCTAGTGAAACCCCACCAAATCACATGCTTCATTGGGAAGACATGTCATATCCCGCTCGAGCCTGGTGCTAGTGAAACCCCACCAAATCACGTGCTTCTTTGGGAAGACATGTCATATCCCGCACGGGCCTGGTGCTAGTGAAACCCCACCAAATCACGTGCATCTTTGGGAAGACATGTCATATCCCGCACGGACCTGGTGCTAGTGAAACTCCACCAAATCACGTGCTTCATGGCTTTCTCCTACGCTTTGGCAGACAAGAAAGAGAGCGCGATCGTGAGAGAGAGCATAGGAGGAGTCACGAGGGCGCCACTGAGCGGGTCCGCGAGCGCAAAAGACCGACGAAGAGAGAGCGTCAGGAGTCGACGCACCGCTCCAAGAAAACCCGCCAGGAGGACGAAGAAAACAAGGCGGACCAAGCCCCGCACACCAAAACCAGTATCTCTCCAAAAGGTACGTGTTCAAGAAAATGTACCCCCACACCAAAACCACGGGCTCGTTAAAAGTACATGTTAAACTTCAAACATCCCCAACCTCGAACTAAAATAAAACTTCTCCCAAAAGAAGGTCTTCCAAAGGATTCCGCCAGGTCCCGAAATCCAGGGATATCGTTTCCAACAAGCGGGATCGACTTCCAATCGTTCAACAATAAAGCCTGAACCGAGGAGTGAGGAAGAGGAATGCCTCTCCCAGCAACGCCCTGGTCTCCCAGCAATGCGATGCTGTGGGGGCAGTGATACTGGGGGATATCTGGACCTGAAGCGGGTGCCTCGCACATATAATCTTATCTCTTATGAATGCTTAAGGTCATGCTTACACCACAGACACACCCACTGCAATGAAGCTCTGCTCTGGCAGCATCTGCCCTCCAGGGTTCTCGAGAGGAAAATGCGCGCAAAATCTCGCAAGAAATTCGCGATGAGCACAACTAAATCTGAAATGCTTGTTAAGCTGATCTATTTGTTACTTTTTCTGCAGGTGACAGCAGTATGGTGCTGAGCATGGAGATGAACGGCATCGTCTATCAAGGAGTGCTGTTCGCCCAGCCCAAGCTGGCTCGGGTCTAGAGAAGCATGTATAGTGCTGCCACCTCGAGCTTGAAAGACAACTATAAGTTGGCTGTGCGTCCGGGCGGGGCGCCGTCGTGGGAAGCCCCGTGGCACCGCCGAGGACTTGCGGTGGAAGGCCGGATCTCACGGGGCACTCGAAATGAACGCCGTTGTGTGCAAGATTATGAAGTGCTCCTGCAGGGCGGCACTTTCTGATCAGTGTGAGGACATGTTTTAGGCTGGTAGTCCGTGTAGTCACCTAGAACACCGCCGCACCCGTTGTTTGTATATTTGCCCGCTCTGCTTAGCCGTTCGTGTTCGAGATGAGCACTCAGTGCAATGTGCGTCTGGATGTGTGCTTGATGCGATGCCTTCACACGCTCGGGATGGACATTCTATCGTTGAACTAACTATTACTGCTCAGGGAGTGATACATTACCACGTAAAGACATCCGACCACTCCGTTAGTACTGCATGACGTGGCAACGGGTGCAATCGTGCACCAACGCTCGAATCAAACACCATGAAACGTCTAAAACACGTCTCAATCTATCTTTCGTGAGCATGTACAAAGTTTTACCTCACGCAGTTTCGGGCTGTTCCTAGAAACAATCACCTGTGAGTGTTGTCGCTTCCGTATCGTATCACTGAAGTGGTGCGGTTTCACGTTTGAATACCTGATACGATGTTAACACAATTGTGCGATGGCTGGACCTGGACGGCAACCACCGAAGGGTATGGCGCGCGAAAACTGGCACTAGTTACCGCGCTTGGATATGACTTCTGGGTTTCGCAGTAGCCTGGAATCTTGTGTTTGTTTCAATAAACTCCCCACCGTGATCTGATCTTTCCGTTTGTAAACACACTTCTTACAGCTAGCGTAGATTAGTTCGGCATTACTGAAAACACAACCAGCGTAGCACTACATCCAGTTCTCAGCTCCAACGCAGGGTACAAAGACTTAGCTTTCATACGCGCACGTTGAGAGCGCAAGCTCTATTTTCTTTTTGAACCTATGCTGCGACAACAAACAATGGCACAAAGGTTGCATAAAATTCCCTTCTGTATTTTTGGAAATTGAAGACATTTTATGGTTTCTGCTGCAGAACTTCATCACGTAGGATCAACACATTCCGCACGTAGACCTTACTACCTCATTGCAATGACCAGGAATGGTTTGTAAGCCTGGAAAGTGGCACATGAAATAACAGGTCGACTCGACGATCGGCACTTAGTTGCCAGCCATAACTTTCCTCGTACTTCTCCAGCGTGAGACAACTTCGATCTTGGGTTAGCAAAGCATGTGTTCAAGTGTCATCATTTACCATTGTCTGCCCATATCGGTAGGGGTTGCAGTACAGGTTACGAAGGATGATTATATATTGTTTTTAAATAAGGGCATCTGGAAACCCTACACTCTAGGAATATCGCAATAGGCATTCGTCTGCTGGCCAATAATCCAAAAGCTCTTGTGCGCAGCTCAGACACCACATTATACAACATAAAACAGAAATGGACTGGGGAACATCACGATTTTAAATCAAATCCGGATACATAACGCCTTTATATAGGCTGTAGGCCACGACTTACAATAAAAAAACACTAAGGGAGGTGATGCGGGTTTCGCGAACTATTTGGGATATTCCATCCACGTTTTACAGGTCATGCCCTGATACAGACAGTGCAGCAATATGTACACATCAATCGCCACTGATCACTTGTCAAGCGGCGGTTTCCACAGTCTTGCGCCACATCACTTAGCTGAATTGCGGCAAAAAAATGTTTGCAATCACGAACTTTTCGAAAAAGTTAGAGTACCACCGTCCGAGACACAGTCGTACCCACCGTCCTTTCCTCCATAAGACACACAAAAGAGCTGTACAATGTCCAACCATGAAGAGACTGGTGGAGGATTCCATCACTAATAGCTCCAAACGTTGGCGCTAGATGTCACTACTCGGGTGCTGGGAGCAGCGCGTGCCAGCGCGGCGTATCGTCGCGCCGCGACTTCAGGCTTTGCTCCCAGTGCTGGGCTCCAGTGACGCTCGTGTCGGGTCCCAGCTGACAGAAGCCGACTCGCCGCTCGCGGGCGTAGATCCGACACACCATCACGATACACTGGATCCAGTGAATCTCCAGCTGGCGACACAACGCGACACACCATCAAGATACACTGGATCCAGTGAATCTCCAGCTGGCGACACACACGACACACCATCGCGATACACTGGATCCAGTGAATCTCCAGCTGGCGGCACGCCGAGCCAGTCGCAGCTGAGGGAAACTGGCGTGCCTCGCAGACATAACAGACAATCGTGACGATCGGCAGGCGGCATATCATCCGGCTCAAAGACATCTATGAGCTGGAAAGGTTGCGTAATCAGAACATGCCGCATCATTGATGCCCGTATGGCTTATAGCTCATCATAGGGCATAATACATCAATGTACTATGTCTTGCCATACTTTGGCACTGCTACCAGCCCTTGCATTTTGCGACTATTGCAAATGGCCGTAAATGAGAGGCTCGAAACATCTGCTGTAGGTAGAGCATACCTCAGGCTGGAGCAGAGGCCCGATAAAAGTGTGAATGTACTGACAGAGCCGGCTCATTTTAGTGTTATTGTTTTACTCCTCTCCTTTGGCACTGGTCACGAAGTCGGTGTTAGGTCCTCAGAGCGGCGTTTCGTGAAGGTCGGCTTATAGCGCCCACCACGCACACCAACACAGCCTGTTACAATTCTGAAGACGCTAAACATCTGCGAGACGGGAAATAATTTAATCATCGCTATTCGATTCAGTCAAGCGATGAACTTCTTATTAAACCTGTATGGGTGCTCAAAACGATTAGAACAAAAGACGTAGGGTTAGTTGTGTTTTACTCCCAACATAGGTTACGTCTCGCAGCATGTGGAGACACAAGCTCACCCACACCTCCAGCCGACAGGCCGTCCTAACTGCTGCTTCGGCATGGCTGCCCCCGGTTGTCGGTCGGCGGGAAGGAAGGCTTTGCGTCCGACGGCTGAACATCGTTTACCCCCCCCCCCCCCCCTCTGCCCTGAGCGCCTTCGCATGTCAGCGACAGGACGGTTGATTGTTGGAAAAGGGGTAAGCTAACCCCGGTAAAGTAACTAATTTTGGCTCTATGGCATTGTGTAAATATACGTAGTGCCAGACGGGAAAGCAGCTCAGGAAACAAACAACATTTTTTTCTTTCTGTCCCATTCCTCCGATGCTCTACCGTCACTGGCCTCCCGCTAGCGATGTGGAGGCCTCGGGTGCCCCGCCCCCAACTCCCCCGATGTTTTAGCGTCACTGACCTCAGACTGGGGGATGTCGAAGTGGAAGGACTGGTTCCAGACAGGCGCGCGGCCCGACACTCGGCGCGACTCCTGGCAGCTGACCTCGTCACCCGCCTTCAGCAGCATCACGATCACGAAGAACTCAGGATTCACCTGGGAACAGGCTCACTGTCAGAAGGCGCAGACCTCTGGTCTGACGGCGAAAATAACGGCGCACAGCGCAGCTCAAACTACTCCTAGGGACCCGTGATGTCTGTAATCGCACGTCACGTGAAGAGGCAGACTATGACGTCTTCCTACACTGTCTTGCATAATTTGCGAAAGATGACATTGAGCCTGGCGGTGCATGGGCCATCAACCGTGACAGACATGAACCAGAACGGCCCGAGACCCCATTGTCAGGCGGTGTTCCCCGGCTATGGCAAGTCATTTGTTTTGCCAGCCACGTCGCACCTGGGGCCGGCACGGACGCTTAGGGGCGGCTCCACAGTTAACCAGGAGCCGGCACCAGCAGGCCGCGGTGGTGAGCACAAGGTGCTGGATCAGACGTTCGTATAACACGCCGGCATACCCACCCACACTGCTGGCTGTTAACGTGCACCTCGGGACGACAGAAAGGAGACCTGGATTAGGAGCGGTGGATGGATGGGAGGAAGGATGGCTGGAAGTATGAACAGGCCAGGTGCGGGGAAAAGGGAGAATTTGGGAGAAGCAGCCCTTCGCCCGTCAGCCATAAGAGGCACCGAGCTAAAAAGGCCAGGTGCGGGGAAAATGGAGAGTTTGGGTGAAGCAGCCCAGCGCTCGTCAGCCATAAGAGGCACCAAGCGCAACAGGCCGCGGTGTGAGGGCAGACAGCAAGGGGCAAAAACAAATTAAGCAAAAATCTTGATCAATTATTGCGAACTGAATGCTCTCATTTCTAATGTTTGCTCTTGACTTTGCTTGTGACATTTCTCCACAAATTGAAACGTTATGCAAAAGGGTCGCTACAATACCCTAATCTCTTAGTCCGGACCCTGTTCCTTTCGTGCCGTGTAGAATTCGGTGTCACCAGGCACATACCTGAGTCTGTTTTCCATATATATATTTACAACATAATGTCTACAATTCCTACCAACTGTAGTCCAAACGTTGTTTTTCTTTTATTCTGTGAATGACACGTGCTGAAAATGATTCCGCTGAGTAATACAATTCGAAAGACATTGTCCTACAACGTCACATTCTGGCATTGAAATTGTGTGATGAATTCGTTTCACATTGTTCTCCGACACAATCATCGAATGTTGAAATCATTTATTTAAAATCTTCTGGGTTGCCTGACTTGCCGGTATTGTCATTGTGATGGTGTGGCCTCTGCATAAAAAACATTTTTTCACTCAATTATGAAAATAGCTGAAATGTATTTCTCTCCGATAACAACCTATGGGGACAAGGTCATGTCTCATGAAACACTCAACGTTGTCATACCTCATTCTCTTCAAAAAGCGATCAGGATTAGACTTGGGTATATCCCATTTTATGTCTGAGCGCAATACCGTGGACCATTGCAGAATATCCTGGGAAAATTATAGAAGTATTAACGAGGTTGATTTATTGGTGTGATTGTACCGTTGCTGTACACCAAGAATACATGGTGTGTAGTTTCCCGATATTTTTGAATGCTCAAAATCTTTGATTGCCGTGTATCGTTAATATTGCCCAGGATTGTCAAGTCTAGTACCTTGTGTTGCATGCAGTACTGCTTTTGTATTCACTGACAGTGCCTACATTGTTGTTTGCGGTGTGATAACGAATACTGAGTACCGAGTACTGCAGTTAGCCCAAAATTCTACACGCCAACAACACAGAACGAGAGGCGTCGGGAGCGCTCCAATGTACTCCTGTACACGGTCTTCAGCTAAACCATCAACCAACGAAGAGACGAAGTGTCATGGCGGGCGGGCGACTCGGCGACCCGGCGGCGGGGCATCTCGTGCCGGTCAGACGCCGGCCGTCGAGGGGCGACCGGCGGCCGTGACTGACCCCTGAGGAGGGGCATCTTGTGCCGGTCGGACGCCGGCCATGGAGTTGCGACTGGCGGCCGCGACTGACCCCTGGGGAGCGGCGACGAACGCCAGCGCGGCGCCACACACACCCTGACGCCAACAGCTGACAGGTGTTCGTCGCCCCACCAATCAGCCGCGCGCAGCCGTGGCGGTCGCTTCTGAATGGCTCAGGTCACACCGCCGGACACGCGGTGACCTTGAACACCGCGGACGAGGCCTCGTGACGGGGAGGTGTCAGGGTTGGAGAGGGGAGGCGCGAGGTCTTGCTTTCAGGCTCGCCACAGATTTGGCTTGAGTCTGCGCGGGGAGGGAGGGAGGGGCGTCATGTCACACCGTTCAGAATCGCTTTATGAAGCTCCTCGCCATGAAGCTCTTTCGACCGTGGGTCCATACACTGCTGACCGAGCACGACCCAAACCAAAGTACAGTTTTCCCGCCCTTGTTCAGACTTACCAGCTTCTATTCTATTGGATATGTAACTTTTATGGGCAGCTTTCCGGACTAGGACGCCGCGGCCTTTGCAAGACAGACATGCATCATCATAAACTGCATTGGGTACAGCGAAGATGCAAAGGCATCAAGTGGCTGCTTACTCTTCTGCAGCAAACCACTCGACTCCCGTCTAGCAAAGAGCAACACTGCGCCTTTGATTGCAGACACCACAGCTGTGGTCCCCGCAGCTCCGCTGCAGTTGTGGTGCGGCGGAACAAACCGAGCGATCACGCGGAGGAACACGCGGTCGGCATTCAGTACTGGCGTTCTCAATACTGCCAAACGTTTATTTGTGATGCAATATTTCTGGAGTTATCAAATCACCACGCAGAACGTGTTAACGAAAACGTTGTTATTAATGACGTCATCAACTACGTAATGTTTTGCTGAAAGCTCCGAATTCTTCCGCACAGCCAAACCCAGGAGTATGCTAAGCTCCTGTTATTAACTATTTCAAAACTTGCAATTCGTGACGATGACGACTCTGCCCTATCTCACAATTGCATGCTTTTACGAATGAAGGGACGTTACGACACTGTGTGATGACCGCCGCGACCGGGGTCATGGTCCCGGGCGGGGTCCAGAGCGGGTGGTCACTGGCGCTGCTTGCTCCAGACGACCGCTCCGACCCAGACCATTGCCCCAAGCGGGCGGTGACCGGCGCTGCCCGCTCCAGACGACCGCCCCGACCTGGGCCACGGTTCCGAGCAAATGGTCACTGGCGCTGTTGGCTCCATACGGTCGGTCCGGCCCGGACCACGGTACCGAGCAGGCGGTGACTAGCTCTGCTGGCTCCAGACACCTGTCCCGGCTCGGGTCGAGCTTGCCCCTTAAAGCAGCTCACTGTCTCCTCTGAAGCTGTGACCGCCCTGGTTTGAGTCCGCCTCTGATGCTGTCGAATACCGCCGGGCCTGGTTTCTTCCGGTGCTGTCGGGTACCCCTGTTTTGAGTCCGCTCCCAATGCTGTCAGGTACCCCGAGCCTGGTTTGAGTCCGCTCCCGGTGCTGTCGGGTACCCCGAGCCTGGTTTGAGTCCGCTCCCGGTGCTGTCGGGTACCCCGAGCCTGGTTTGAGTCCGCTCCCGGTGCTGTCGGGTACCCCGAGCCCCGCCGCCGGGCGGGTAGAAACATCCGCCGACTGACGCGGTATGTATTGATCTTCGCAGCTTATTAAGCTGGGAACCGCTCAGCTCTACGTGGTAGTCATCTCACGGGAACAGGGAAACACGGCCAGACGGCTAGGCATCTCATGCTGGTGTGGCGCATCAGCTTAACAGTAAAACCATCAAGAAAAGGCGTGGAAAAATGAGCTATCTGCATCTCTCACACAATACACGAGAGAAGACGTCTCCTTGGTTTAAAGATTAACGTGAAATCAGCTCCAAAAAGAAACTTAAACAGCGACCGAACTTTCCAAAAACCGAACGGTCTGTTACGGTAATAAGTATGCGTCCGCGGCATACATACACATATTACTTCAACACGCGCTCGGATGGGAGGAGGGGGAGGGGGCAAATTGTCTCTCCGAAGGTTTTTCCGGAATGGTTTCTGAACGGCGCGGCGTAGCCAAGCCAAATTTTGCCTAGCTGTAGAAAGTTGAATAGCAGATCGCCTAGAATAAAAAATGTAATGTACCTTGTAAGGTCGCTGACCTATGGCAGGTAAAGACAGGCCATGGTTTCAGCGAAGGCAATTTCTTGGGAATCGCTCAATCTGATCCAACAACGGAGTGTTAGACGAATCCATACATCTCTGAGATACGGTCTTTGGCAATACAGCAATTGAATGCACAAATTATATTGACCCAAAGTCAGATAGGAAGGTCAAGCCAAGGTCGAAACCAGCCTGTTATATTTCTCTAGCGCTTGCTGTATGGGTTAGTTCCGGATGCCCATTTCAATTTTATTAATAACGGGAACCACATTATACACCTTCCATGAACTTCTTTAGGGCCAGAATAGGTCACTGACCTAGAATGACCCACGTCCACATTTTTAAGGAACATGCTGCCTTGCGTAATTTTTGTCGCTTATCCAAATGCAAAACTTAGAGCGGTATCGTATCATTTTGTTCACCATAATCTTCAAAATGTCCAACAAAGTCACTGACCTTAGATGAGCATGTAAACTTTTACATAGAATAGTCACCTAGATTTCGGGGCATTTTGAAGACCGGCTTGGAATTTGACTTTGTTTGACCTTTTTAAGCCGAAGGTCATAACCCAGGAATCTCAAACTATGACCTAAGTGAGTTCACGTACAGGCCAACACACTATGTATTTGGTGTCTCTAGCTCTTTTAGTTCCTGAGATCACGGGAGGGGGGGGGGGGAAGTGACCTCCCATGGCCACCGGCCGCCCGGGCGCGTGTTAAATATTTTCACAGTCCATGACAGATGTCAGCTCCCAGCTACATCATTATAATTGTATTGATAATAGCAAACTAAATATACCTGTGACTCATTGACCTGACTGAGCCATGTGAACACATGTTACGAAGGGCCTGGCCAAGGGCACGGTCAAATTGCGGTGGGGGCACAGGGTTGACAAAGGGAGGCCCTGCTGACAAAGGGAGGCCCTGCTGGCAAAGGGAGGCCCTGCTGGCAAAGGGAGGCCCTGCTGGCAAAGGCTCCCTCCCAAATACATCGCCGCATTTTGCCCGGTGGAATTCGACGTTGCACGGTTTCCTTTATAATATAATATGCATATATATATATATATATATATATATATATATATATATATTAAGAAAGCCGTGGATTGCACGCAGATTGTATATTGAAATTAAGTGAACATTTGACTTGACATGGTGAGCCTGTATTCATCTGGACATGTTCATCTTTGATTCAGCACTGTGCAGTGAAAAAAATCATGTGACAGTTTTGAACATGCACACTCGCGAGTCTTCGAAACGAAACCCCGACGTCAGGCGTTGCAGTCTCCGTAGGCCGCGTTGCCGGCCCTGCGGACTTCGCGACGGCTGACGGGACGACGAAAGCGATCACGTACCTCAGCGAGTTACGTTTCAACGCTTCATGCAGTTAGATTGAAATCTGGGTATGCGAAGAATGCAAAGCTGCATTGGTGCGGCTTTAATTAAGTTTCGACCTATATCTCACCCGCGCACTTTTGATACTGATAGTGAGAACGGACTAGCATGCATGCACAGCACTGCCAACTCTTGACGTATTGGTGTAATCTGTATTTTCGTGTTGCTGTGTTGTAAAACTGTTCAGAGGTCAAACACACAATTTTGCACACAAAATATTCGCCAGGTCTTTTTTAAAACGCCAATCGATTTCGAAAGACTCTCGGAATTTGTATCTCACGACACAAAATTGTTCTGGCGACCCCCCTACCCGCCGCCTGGTGTTACCTGCAGTAGCCAAGACCCCTTAATTGGACGAATACTGCAGCTCCAGGCGTCGATGTTCTTACTCCTAAAGCTTGCGATCGCGCAGATAAACAGCGTTTATATATATATATATATATATATATATATATATATATATATATATATAAGCATCATGACCTTCAACACTGAACGCAGGGGAGACATTTTCCACTTAAGCTGGAATTGCACTGCTGAGCAGTGGGCTCAGCGTGCACACAGTGTGCACTCTGCTGCCAAAGCCACAAATGCAATCATTCTGGAAGGGTAAAACACGTCAAAAGCCTCTGGAGTACAAGAGATACGCCAACGACATAGAATAACGTCATCTCCTACATAGGTCTGGATGTTAGCAGTATTTTCAGTGGAATCCATTTACTTTCTGGAACAGTTCCAGAATTGCCTGCTTTCGGCAGTGTTTTCACCGATCGCCAAGCCAGTACTCCTTCACCGAGTGCTCTGAGTAGTCGCCAGTTTCTCGATTTATCGCTAGTGGTGGTAACCCTGCTCCAAACAGCTTGGAGCGGGTCTCTGGTATCCTAGCGCTTCCAGCACATTCTCTATGAATAGTGAACAGCAGAGGCGTCGATATACCTCTTGTTTTTAATTCCCTTATTTTTTTCAACTTTATTTTCAAATGGCTTGCACGACTGGCTTTTGGTTCGGAATACCTGTCAAGCGGGCATATTCCGTGCACCGAACCCGCCACCGAACCCGTCACCCAAATTGCAATGATCAAATTCACCAGATCATTTCGCCTACGATCTTTTACCGCACAAGGCCGCGAGGGATTTCACACGCAGCGCTATTGTACGATGCGGCCAGCGCGGACCAGTTTGACCTGCGCTGTCCAGTTGCTAGCTAACCCCTCCGAGTTGGTCTGCAAAACAAGGCGCGCGGCGCGTCCCGGACTCCCACGCACGCCCTGCCGTATTGCGCGTGATAACACGCGAGCGCAACTAATTCATCCCGGACCGCGGTGGTGACACTATTTCCATTAGCATATTATGGGTGCATTAGGAAATAAACATCCGTACAAGTCGCAGTTTTGGGCCTTTGAAGGACATCATTCAGGAGTAAGCGATCCAATCGGTCACAAAATATAGCTACAGGCACGTGATGCTTCACATGCTAATTTATGGTCAATGTCAATATAACAGGCAGCTCATCATCTCCCGACACGGTAGATGCAACACTGCCACACCACCATCATCAGATCTTGTGAATCGGGAAGGTTTAAAACACCGTGTTGACGGATTCGAGACACTTGCCTGACCGCGGCAGTCTGGAGTCGCAATTAAGAGACCGAGCGAGCCGGGAACTCAGGACTCACCAGACCACGGGGACCAAGTAGTCAGACTCATCGAGCCGCATGATCAGGGGTGTCGGACTCACCAGACCGAGCGAGCCAGAGAGTCAGGCCCACCAGACCGCAGGACCCAGTGAGTCAGACTCATCGGACCGCATGACCAGGGGAGTCGGACTCACCAGACCGCGGGAGTCGGGCAGATTGTCGCCGCGCCTCAGGAACACGTTCATCCTGCCGGTGGCCTGGTCGTAGCGCAGACTGAGCAGCAGCTGCCCGAGCGTCGGCGCCGACACACCCGCCTCGTCGGCCGCAGACGTCTGCGTCGGCTGGAGCTGTCGGGTCAGGTCAACGGTCACCACGGGTCAGTTCTGGATTTGCGGCTGCTCAGTCCGACCGGCAGCGCGCTTACAGCCATTTTCAGGCATTGCTCCTCGGAATATGCAAATACTTGATCAACGGATTCATGTTACTTAATTATCCGAAAATGTGGTTTCGTCTCTCCGAATTTGCAGGTTTAAACATACGATGCTTTATGATTTCCCATTAAAAATGCCACACCTGGGTAGCGTTATTTCTCCTGATTCCAGTTGCCCCCCCCCCCCCCCGCCCCAAATCCTGATTTGTCCCACCAGTCTCAGAGGCGAGGCTGCACTCGTACCTCTTCTGGTACCAAACCCGCGAAGGCCGCTCCGTCACGGTCAGGATACGTCAGAGACACGGGTCTGCCCACCGAAACCCCCATCCTCAAGTGCCACACGCATGTCTGAACCTTTAAACCATGGAGGAAAAGGCTCGGCAATGTTTGGACGACGTGACACATCGGTGTATCAGTGTGTCGAAGTTGGAGACGGGGATACGGCGAGGATGGGGGGTAACCCACCCCCTAACACCCTGTTCGTGTGAGCAGTGGATGCGTCCATTCCGAACACCACCAGAGACTCGTCGATTTCTTAACCCAAGCTTAGCTGGGCTTCCCACACTTCCAGCGTACAGCCGGTCAATGTGCAGATAACGGTCAGCTATTTGAAATGATTGGCAATCTGTGCTGTGAGAAGAATGATTCCCGCAGATACAAGCGACACCTCCACGCCATCGTTGCTACACGACAATGCATTATTGGAGTTCCTCTTATAATACGTGAGCTCATATTGCAAGCTCACCTTCTGAATCTACCTGTCTTCTCTGGTTGCCAGGTGACGAACTTGCGTGCTAATTACACCCCAGCGTCGGGCGTCGAAAGCGACGGGACACTCGCTTAGTAACAGTCCTGACGTGGGCTACATTCACCTACATACAGTATTCAACACACAAGCATAGATAGTGCTGAAAATGACGGATAGTGACAATCAGTCACCAAGTTACGGGGTATTTTGCTGTTCTTGCCAGGTGATATCATGCTTACATGGAAATTAGTTTTGTATGAGAGTTAAAAGGCTATTGCTCCGCTGTCCTCGATGCTATCCAACGGGCTTATCTGATCCAGCGCCTCACAAGCCAACGGGAGCGTGTTATAAGCATGTCACGGCCTATGCGTTTGTGTGAAACATCGCGGCGTTATCAGCACCAAATAAAAAAAGGGACAGTTGTAGTGCCTGAACCACGGATGACGCTGAGCAAGTACGAACAGAGGCTGTAAAATTCACGGAGGATTACCAGCCAGCTGTTACGTCAATTCGCATGAGCTGGGGGTGCGATAACAGCTGAGCTGTGTGCAGATCATTCAGTATCAAGTGACGTGGGTAGTTCGGAAACGCAGTGGCAGCGTGGTTTTATACATGGCAGATGTCTGCAGATACCAATCTAGCACAGCGCATCTGATTCGTCGCAGCAGTGGTTACAGAGCCATAGGACCATAGCTTGTGCCAATCCTACTAAGTTGCCGTTACCGTAAAAAAAGACGCGGCCACGTCATGACATTCCGAATGGTGCAAATATGGTGGCTACATTTTTTTCAAACGACGACCCAATTTTCGCTCATCGTCTCTAAATGAACGGCATGCGCTGCAGTGTACATCAGAGTAGTCTAGAGCTTAAAGGGAGTGCTCCATATTTGTTTCGGGTTTTGAACTGATAAAGCCATTTTGATGATCATTCAATGCAGTTCACAGCACTGCCCTTCTGAAGGCCTAAATAAAGCCCTCCAGTTTCTGAGCTAAGTGTACACAAAAATGTGTAGTCCATTTTGTGCAGACTATTACAGGACCATTCACTTATACATGACGCTATTGCAACGTCATTCGCATCCCACCACCCTATAGGCCTCGGCGTTAATTGCAGTAAAGTATTACCGGAATATGTTGCATGTTTAGTCGGTTTTATACTTGGAGATCACGAATGAGTTTTGTGTGTAACATTTACGATAAACGTTTTGTCCTCACTCGACATTTAAATGCCGTAATATGGCTTAGTTTGGAAGTTGTATGTCCTTCTCCACAGATTGTACAACCCCGTCGTATTTTTAGCACTATGCAGTGATATCACACATTCACCTCCATAATCACCATTAGGGATGCGCCATAACTGCTTCTTGCCCCCACCGGGAGCACTACGACTGAGCAGCTTACTTTGCCCTTGTGAAAACTTACAGCACACTTTGCCTTAGTGAAAAAGTGCAGCACTTTGCCCGAGTTCAAACCTGCAGCTCACTTTGACCTAGTGGCAACCTATGTTCTTGTCTAGTATATATTTCCTCTAGTCCATTTCTCACTCACAGCGCTTGCCCCACGGTGATCCACGCACTTGTGACGTATCTACCCACCACATACTAAAAAATTCCATATTTTGTCTGGTCTTAGGAGGAGGCTGCGCATGAAGAAAATGCAACGACGGTGGCTTTGGGAGCTTATTAGCTACCAATTTATGGAGAAGTAGTTCCCTTCTGATATGACGAGCGAGCTTCAGACTTGAAAATTCGCAAGTGGCCCGAGACTACCCGCCTCATCAACTATAGCCAGTCTTTTGAATGCTTAACTCACATAACATTCAGAACGCAGCTGCCAGCTAAACAAAATGAATCTGAACAATCTACAGCTCTTACAAACGCCAAAACCTTTGTCTGGCTCACATGAAACACGACTTTCTCACGCTCGCAGATATCCATCGCGAACAGCTGTAGTGCACACATTGCCTATCGGTTGGTACCGAGAAACGTGTCACGCCGAAAAAGGCAACTGTGTTAGTGGGTCTGTGGTATTCAGGGCACCCAGGTCCCTCGGCCCGCTAACACAGAAACATCAATTGGCTCTCACCCAAAACATAGTGCGCTTCTTATCTTCCGTGTTCTCCACGTGCATCCGTCACATGCAACGTAACGACGGTTCAAAGCAGTCTTTCACGAACGCTTGTTCACGTAAAAGGATTTGAACCGTTGTAAAATGGTTTGGAATCTGTGGCTACATAATCACGTTCAGGTTCATTTTTATTTACGTCCCGTTATTGCTTTATTGGAAAGATTCTTTAACGTGCCTGGTTACAAACAGGTTGCAATGGGCACAGCGTTGGCCAGAAATAAGGTTTTGAAACATCTTGGGCAATGGCTCTAAATTTAAGTTTAGGATGTTTAAATACGTAAAACGCTTTAAAACACCTCACGCCACATGCCGGTCGTAAACAAGACTGATAACAAACCAGTTTACTCAGAAAAACCTCATCTTTCTTGCTACTAGAGGATCTACGGCTGAATAAAAAATGAGCACAGAAGTGCAAAAGGTAGCATCCGTATAGCTGTGTTTCTACATTTAATTCAGCGGCCTTTTGGTCCTGATGTGCCGCGCTCAATGTTATTCCTGCGTGCATGTAACTTACATAATTTCCCCCGTCCTGCCTGACACAACATCTATTGCTTGACACGATCCCGTGATGCACTTGATTTTGCCCCTCATAACTGCTATTTTTCACTCCACATGCCCACTGCCCTCCGCGGGGCCCCTGACACACCGTGTGGGGGGATGTGGGTGGGGGCGGGTGGAGGGGGGGGGGGTCGCTGACCGGTATCGTGCGCCGCTGGCCGGGCCGGCCGAAGACGACGCTGCAGGCGGCCGGCGTGCCCGAGGCCAGGTTGAGCTCGCACAGCCGCACGCTGCCCTCGCCCACCAGCTTCTCGGTGAGGCTGCTGTACCGCTTGACGTAGAGGTGGCAGCTGAGCTGGCCCTGCTCCAGCCACTGCTGCGCCACGCCCGGGAAGGTGAGCAGCTGCGGCTGCGCGGCGGCCGCCTGGTCCAGCACGGGGCGCGACTCAGCCTGCTGCCCCAGCGCCGTCAGCCGCACCAGGAATGGGCGGCCGCGGTAGCGAAGCGGCAGGTTCACTAGCCGGTTCAGGCACACCGTCAGCGCCCCGTTCACCGGCGTGTAGACCACGTGGAACTCCATGCGGGCCCGCGCGCGCTCGACTCTAGTCACCTGCGGGTAGTGGCGGGGAACGAGGTTGAAGGGCGTGTTCCGCTTTTACGTATTTGACATTATTTTATCTTGCACATGAGGTCCTGCATCGCCATCGCCACATGAAGGTTGACGTCGTGTGTGGATCGCCCGACATTTCAAAGAGAATGCGCTGTCGCTGATCGCGACTATGAAAGAGCTCAGCAGGGAAAGCGCTGCGAATCTCGATCTCAGAACTAGTGTTCGATTTTAAGCATACGTGATTGCTTCTTGCAGCTCGCGGTCATCTAAACGAAGGAGAAATGCTGCATGATCAATGCTTTCTCACACCGTGGTGGAACAAGACGGGTTCCACCCGCGACTCATAACCAGGACAGCGACACGCAACTGCGGACAGCGACACGTGGCTAGCTGTCGCGCAGTGCACGGTCCATATCGGCTCACTTACCGAGAAAGCATTAACGCCCCGAACGGGTATTGGCGTCGGTGCGTCATCCGCTGGTAACGAAATCGTGCAAACTTGGCACCTGGGCGGAGACGCCCGCAAGGCTTTTCTTCGAAATGCCTGCTGTACTATTCAAGCCACCAGTAACGCAGCAGATTACTAGGAACAGGCCACAAGGGGCTGAGCGTCCCATCTCTTGGACGTGCGGGATTCCCGCAGTGACAGCCTTTGTGGTGCGAGGTTCTGTCAGTGCCACTCAATCCGGTTGCGCGCGAATGATGAAAAGAAAGCCGGCTCCGCTTATTCGTTCAACCGTTAGAAATCCATACATGCTGTATCGATCTTTGTCCCATAAATCTCGGGGATGTACTGACCTAATGTACTGTAAGTTCTACTGTACTGTAAGCTGTACCTGGGAGATGACCTCTTCATTCCGAACCAATAAGTAACCCCACCCATCGAAGCAGGCAGAGGGGGAGGGGGCACAGAGGCGCGTGCCCCTTAGGTTCCAAGGGACCCTTCGGGCTCCTCGGAGGTCCTGAAATGCCGGCCTGGAGGTGGTATCTAGGGGCTCCGGCGCACAGGGTCGGCACTGTCATGCCAGCCAGAGGGCCCTGCGCACTAATCAGGACCCCTGAGACGATAACGGCCTATATGCCGGTCAGAAACCACAGAAATATACAGTCAGTTCCGCGGCGGCGTGGGTCTCAGGGCCCATTTTCCAAGCAGGGGCAACGCAGGAGTCAGCAATATACATTGGTCGGGGCTCAGCGACTATCATTGTCCACAGCGCCTAACCGGGACCCTGTGTCCGCAAGGAGCCTTGAATCGGCCAGAGGCAATGAGAACAGGCCAGAGGTAATGCTCGAGAAAGCCACACTAGCCTAGAGGGACGACCGGGTCCGACGATCAAGAGCCAGATTGGAGGGTGTAAGGGCATGAAGGGCTGGTTCGAGTCTTATTCAGGTGTTCGGCCTGCGGGTACGGGCCCCCAAATGACACTCAGAGTGCCCTTTGGGCCGATCGGGGACCCCTGAGTCAACTTGAGTCTATATGTCGGTCAGAAACTATCAGTTCCGCACAGTCGGCTCCGTGTCGGTATGGGCCTGAGGGCCCACTTCCTAACCAGCTACAAAGGCGGGCCAGCGATTTACACTGGTCGTGGCCCCTGCACTTGTCAGGGGCCCACAGCGCCTAACAGAGGGTCTTGTGTTGGCAAGGGGTCTCGAGCTGGCCAAGGGCAGTATTCGATGAGGCCCGAAGAGGGGCTCGAGCGGCCCGCCGGAACCGACGATTAAAAGACCCGGTTGGAGGACATAAGGACCTGGAGGACTGGCTGTAGGTCACATAAAGAATCGCAGCCAACATGGACGTGACCTGACGCATTAGTCAGAGGTCCTCTTGGACCGTTTGAGAACCCGCTGAAATAATGTGGGGGTCTCGGTTGGCCAGACGCCACGAACACCGACCAGTTGGCACCCTGCCAATCTAAGCCCTGGAGACACATTTTCGAAGCAAAAGAAAGGTCGGGGCCATGATTTGCATCGGTCGAAGTCTCTGAAACAGTGGTTGGGGCCCCTGTGTCGGTCGGGGCCGCTCAGAATGGGGCCTTGGATGTCAGAATGGGCCGCACGGGACCAAAGACCAAGGAACCGACTGGACCTGGGTCCGACCCTCCAGGCGTAGTGTCGTGACTTGAGATGTCAGTCAGAGGACTTCTATAAGGGGCTTCTTATTAAAGTTCTCTATCACTATTATATTGGGCCTGGACACGGAGCCAGGCAGTGGACTTCTTGTCCGTCCGAGCCCTTGGGACCCAATTTCCCAAACAGGAACGAGGCCGGGGCCCGCGATTTGCAACGTTCGGGGTCCCTGACACAATGACAGGCTCGTACGCCGGTCAGGGGTCATAGTGCCTAACAGGGACACTAACCGCCGACAATCAAAGGAAACATAAAACTTATAATGAATACTCACACTGAGATATTAGAAAAGTCCTTTGCTAGCCAGGGACCCCAGTAACGAACGATGGGTCCTGTCCGTAATTTCCAATGCTAGCACTGAGTCTGTGTGCCCATTATTGACCACCCGCGGCGATCATGGTATTTGCTTTGCTTACCAGGGAACCCCAGTAAGGAACGGTGGGTCCTGTTCGTAATTCGCAATGCCAGCACTGGATCTAGGTGCCCATGTATTTGACGCACCCCGCGGCGATCAGGGATATTGCTGGCGTCAATAAGGGTCCTTCGCCAACCCGAGGCCAACTGCGCGGGTCAGAAGGCCGTCTGCCGTCGAGGAGGGGGACGATGTGATATGAACAGGTCATCCATTGTTTGCGGAAAACGTTCTTTCTTTTGCAGAAGCGAATACTGAAACAAATTATGCAGAAAAAGTCGAGCTTGCGCGCCCGCAATCACGGCAGCAAGGACAGCGACGGCCTGGGTTCTGGCTTCTGTATTAGCCACTGCAAGTGACCACAGGCGGCGGGCGCCGTGCGCGCGAAAACGACCGTCGTGACATAATGGTTATGAATAGCTTTCAAAATTCAGATTAAACTGGGCGTACTGTTAACAACTTTGTGGTTGTCCTCTGAACAGGTTAAAGGGGATGTTCCACATTCGTATGGCGTTTTGAACATTTGTGTGGCGTTTACGGTCATGTTTCTTTTAAGATCCAAAACGATCTGGTTCTTGAGTTACACGCCCGCAAAAATGCGAAAAGGTTTATTTGCAGTCTATTTCAATGTTGCCTCGGCATTAATGACGTCATAGAAACGTCATGCGATTGCGGTCACACTACAGGCTGCTTTCTGCTTATGGTCAGAACAGCATGGCCGCTGGTACATTCGCAAAAGCGATGATGTGGCACGTATGATACGATGCGCGGAAGATGATTCGCTGTTAGCAAGATTACGCTGCTGAATGCTTGTCGCGAACGTGAGCGTGAGCGCTTTCGGGTTGTGCGGCACTCGTCGCGAACGGGCAATTTTTCCCTGATTTCTAGGCCGCAGGTTAATGCTATAAAAAACGCCACTGTCTGCAAACCAACCACGACACCCAAAAAACGGGCGCTCTCCCGAAAGTTAAAAAATAGAAGACTGGACGGCAAATCTGTCTTTTTCTCCTGCTGGCGTTTTTTTTTTCTTCTACAGACAGCTCGGTTGGCGCCTTGTGTACAGGAGCACAAAACCTTGCACGGGTTTATGAGTTAACAAGGCATTATGAAACTAGGGAAACATCACAGTAACTTAGGTATATATTTAACTAAATATTTCACACATATTGTACCACAAGTTTAAATATTAAACAAAAAATTGTGTCGTGCGAGTATAACTTATTGAGCCGCATTACCATGAACCCCAACTGGGACTTTGTTTTGAAGGGAGGTTACGGTGAAATGCAATGTTATGGCTGAAAATCTGTGCGGAAATTGCGAGAAAACCTGAAATTTGATAGTTCCCCGAGCTGTGCAAGTGTGAAATCACACATATTTGACAGAAGAGTGTGAATCGGGGGCTTGAAATGTGTGTGATCACTGGTGGTGTATGCCAGTGGCTTGTATTGATCCTGATGTGGTAGGGAGTGTGCGTGCGAGGTTTTTACTTCTGAGAAAGAGCATTGCTTTGGTATTCTTTAAGTCTAATGACTCCCGATAAAGTGTGATATATTGACACCTGCCTCTACCTTTATGTTTGTGTTTGAACATCGCAAAGGAACGCTAGAAACTACGAGAAGCACTAGCACTTATGTTGCAGGGGTGTACAAAGGTAAGCTGGTACTTCATTATGGCCTTGCTAACATTTTAAACCTATTGAGATATTACAGCATATAATTAATTCCATTGCGTGTCATTATATCAGCAGTTCATTTTGGCAGCAGACACTGGAGCGTGCAGCTTATTAATGCACATGCTCAGTATGGGCACATATTGTATGGCTTTGCTAAATGGTCTTTTCCTGAAGAACTCTGAAAATATGGAGCTGTATTGTTACTGATGCACAATGTACTGTCTTAACAAATTTTGTAGGCAGGCGAGCATTGCTCGTGAGTCATCAATGTCGTAGTCAATGCAACTTGCGCGAGATGCTGGGTGCTGAGAAAGGTGGAAAAGTATTGCTGTTGGTGTCTTGGATAGCACTTAATAGCATTTTAATCATGAGCCTTGTGTGCATCTGACGGCTTTATCACTTCCCTGCATTTTACCCATTCAACCATAACTGCATGCACTTCTCATGCCTTCAGCCTTGTGCAAGGTCAGCATGGTTGCAGTGTCATTTCACATGTAAAATTGTCCTGTTATTTTTTAGTGAAGCAGCCTGATGGCTGCAGCATGTTGCATGACTGTCGAAGTGGAAGATGTGTTTGCATCGTTCTCATCTGTGTTTTGTGGATTTCCAAAACAACCTGAGCAAGGTATGCCACTTATTGGTTGTCTGCTTTGCTGAAAGTGATTTGTATATTTATCGTGTGTTTTTGGTCAGTCATATGTCAGACGGGGAGTCAATACAGGAGAGAACATTGATCCATCTTTCATGACGGAAATTATGATGAAAGCAGCATGGATTGCAGCACAAAAAAACATATTATTATTCACTATGTCATGCCACAGTACAGCAGCGAGGAAGTGCCACAAGGAAGCTGTTGACCCGTGCCATCACACAATGTACCACGTTGGTTGACTACTTTGTGTAAAGTCTATGAGACAGCAGCTTATAATTAATGAATGACTGGTAACAGCTGATTTAACAATGACAAAGGACAATTAGCAGCAAAAATGTCATTGCGCCACAATGGCTACATCAGGGTTAGCTATTAATTGCATAAATAATCCTAAGCAAAAACATATGTTTGGTAGCCCAACCTTACCACCATTACCACAGCAATAGCAATGCTTGGAAAATCAATTCACAGCAACGTTACGAAGTTATTACTTTGCGCATGACACCACATTTCCAGTTACAAACAATAAAGAAAATAACTGCTGTGCACATCACATGATATCAATGTCAGGATTGCAGCACTGCAGGCAACGATGGGTCGGCAATAAAGTATTGAAAAAATCATCATTAATAGCATAGCAGCAACAGTAGCAGCACAGCATATCGTGCTTTGATATTAATAACTTGCCATAAAAGCTGGCGATCGCTGCGTTGCGTATGTCAAACAGTCCACGAAAGCTTTTCCAAAGGCCAGCAACAAGACAAGAAAATCTACAAAAAAAGTAATCCGCCACCCGACACAGCCTCCGCGACGAGAATAGCCGGATGGCGTTAGCTGTCGCGTGTTTCGAGGCATCTTTAGGTCTGGTTGCCAGATGCTGCCAGGCATTGCTGTCGTCACAAGACCATTCCATGACGCCATCAAGCAATGACGTAATGGGGTGCATTTTTACAAACTTTGAAATTTTGCTACTTAGCGTCGCTTTTGAACCTTGAAAGCTTACCAATGGTTACAAGTAAGCTTTTCCCATCATATCTGATGCGTACCTCAATATCTTCAAATGTGGAACATTCCTTTTAACACCTGCAGCAATACAAAACTTAGAGATTCTACCTCTACTCTTTCAGTTCCACCACCAGATTCCGGCCCCACTTTGCGGTGCTGTAAGAGGCAATCCTTTTTTATCGTCAATCTAAAAATCGGACATGTGAAATAAACGACCGCACTACTCTCTAAGCGTAATATTTGATATCTTTGCATTCAAGGTACTTATTTCAGAAACGCCATCATTTTCGTCCACGCGTTGGTCGCAGCTCAGTTTTAGCCGCCAAGCTGACGCCGTTCAATTTACGGAGACTGCAACGCCTGTCGTTGAGGTTTTTGTTGTCAAGATTTGCGAACGCGCATGTTCAAAACTACGTTACATAATTTGCATCAGTAATCAACGCTGACTGAATGCTGAGCATTTTAAGACGCACATGGCCTGGCCATGTTACTACAACGTGTTGACTTACGTTGATCTACAAGCTGCGTTCGCGCGCCCCTTAATATATCCGAAGAACCCAGATAAAAGTTATGTTAAGGCTTCTCAGTTTCATCGGATCAGAAAGAGGTCACTTAGCCATTGTAAAGTGCAGAGCGCCTACGATTTATTTCATGCGGTCGTTTAAAGCAGTTTGTTTTATTTCAAGCAGTTATTCAGTTTAGTGATCATGAAATACAGGCAGAGTTGATACCGCGATAGCTTCTGGCCTCTATTCCAGGTATAGAGAATGAAAATAAAAAAATACCAAAGAGAAATATGTCTTCATCAAGAAATGTATCAGTTCCGGCGATTTTCGGGGGACCCTTTGTAAGCGCTATGCCCACCCCTTCTCGCCAAGGCTCTGGCTGCCCGGCCGACCGCACCTGCCGGTCGAGCCGCCAGCCCCATATCTGCCTCGTTCAAACACCTGTCCCACGGACTGTCACGCACGCTCCAGCTCCTACTCCTGCAGACAGCGTGGTCGGATCCTCCGCCTCTCCGTGTGGTCTCTGACGTGGTCCCCTCGCCTACCTGCGTGACCTCAGACTGCTCCTCCCCTTCCAAGCGTGACCTCTGACACGCTCCTCCGCATCACCGTGTGACCTCTGACCTGGTCCCCCGCCTACCTGCGTGGCCTCTGACCCGCTCCTCCGCCTCCCCGCATGACCACTGACCTGCGCCTCCTCATCGGAGGTGACAGACGACACCTCGGAGGGCGACACCTCGCCGGCGTCACGCACCACCGGCGGCGTGTAACTGGGCTTCATTCCGGGCTCCAGCACCAGGTGCTCCATGGAACGCGAGAGAGCAGCGCGCAGCAGGTGCTGCTGCCTCAGCTGGCCGTGGCGCCGGTCGTACTGCTCCAGGAACAGGTCGGCGCCGCTGTCGGCCGGCTGCACGGGCACGCCGACGGTGGACGCGTGTAGCGGGTGTCGCTTCACCACGCGCGCCGACAGTCGCTCCTGCTCAGCCAGCGGCGGCTTCCGGGCGCGCAGCCAGCGGCGTAGCAGCAGCACGACGCCCAGCAGCAACAGGGCGGCCAGCAGGCCCGCCGCGCAGCCCAGCAGGATGGACAGATCCCGAGCTGGCGCAGAGGGGGCGGTTACGGGGCGGCTCAGTGCTCGCTCCGGGACATCTGGGTCAAACTCAGAGCACGGGGTGCGAACGCCGGGAAATATTCGAGGAAGGGCAAGGCTTGGCGTCCGGCAGCCGAAACTTTTTCGATTTGCCGACGTTGAAACAAGGTAAGCACAAGGTCCCGCACGTAGCAAGGTGGGTACAAGACCCCGCACATAACAAGGTGGGCACAAGGTCCCGCACATAACAAGGTAAGCACAAGGCCCCGCACATAACAAGGTAGGCACAAGGCCCCGAACACAACAAAGTAGGCACAAGGCCCCGCACATAACAAGGTGGGCACAAGGCCCCACACATAATAAGGTAGGCATAAGGCCCCGCACATAACAAGGTGGGCACAAGGCCCCGCACATAATAAGGTGGGCATAAGGCCTCGCACGTAGCGAGGTTGGTACAGAGCCTCGCACGTAACAAGCCAGAGATCCGACCAAACGGCGCCGACTTCGGAAACGGCATCGGCTAATGCGAACGTTGGGTTTATCCTCCGACCTTTAATTGGAAGAGGGCCGATGATCGTCGCAGCTTTTTACAAGCCTGTTCCTTTAAGTCTATAAACTGCCTTGCGCATGGAGGGGAAGAGGTATTTTGATTGAGCGCAAACGAAGCATAGCGGGGGAGAGCGGGGTTTGGCAACGTAACGTTACGTTCAACCGTGGTTACAAGTCATACCGAAATCTTCTCAAAAATGTTTTGACGGACCAACCAGGGGCAAGGGGCTTAACCAGGGAAGAAATTTGAAACTTGCCAAAAATACATAGAGCAATTCATGGCGCTCCTGACTCTTGGCAGGTCCGTATCTCAACGATACCCAAAACGATCGCCCAAAACGAGTTCGTTAAGTTGACAACAAATTCGCCTTCCGGAATTCAACGGACATTTAAGAATGGCTTGAAAAGCTACACAGAGAGAGGGAGAGAGTATGACCTGATCACGATGAGCACCGTGTGTTAGATCGAAATGCCGTATCACAGTGCGTTAAAGATCATGATGAGAAAAAGTGGAAGCTTCAGTTGGTCTAAAAATCGGCTTGCAGACAGATCTCGACTTTATGATTGCGATGAGGACAAAACCGAGACCGGTGCGGTGTATTGCCATAATTACAGCTATTCCAACCTCATCCAGCTTCGCGAAGGGATTAGGCCAAATCCGAAGAGAAAACTGTTTATTGCTATATCTACGCTCGCGCAAAACCATCATTTACTACAATTATACAACTGACATTTTACAAAATTCCCCCCCCCCTTAATTTGTATGATCTCGGTGAGTCTAGAGTAAGGATGACTGATCTGAAAGCCTTTGCGGCTGAAAATATTGCAGAGGCTTGAACACTAAGCATATTTTTCTAAATATCCGCTCCATTCTCTATGTTTGTATCACAGGCATTCAGGTAAGGGTGGTTCCAGGTTACAGTCAGGGAGAGGGAGAAAGGGGGGGGGGGGGGCGAGCCCCGATCGGTGTTGGACTCGCAAGAAGAGCGAAATCAGAGGGTTTCCTGACGCTTGACCTTCAACAACTAGTTTAAGTCTCCGACTCATGACAGCAGGCGGGGCTATTGGTGCTCCACGACGCGCTCATTTGCTGAGGCTCTATGGCGTCGCCCGCCTCTCACCCTGGCAGGAAGGGCCTGACACCGCAGTGAATTAGACACCGCGTCTATGGTTTCCCAGGCGAGCAGCTTAACCGCTACAATTTTGGTGCCCCTGTTACAGCATTTCTATTCACCCGCGAGATGATGATTTGGGTGAAACCATCGTCAAACAAAAAGTGCAGTGTAAAGCATTAGCTGCTAAACGCCTGTAAGGAAAGTAGTACTCTTACAAAAATAAGATGGGTAATATACAACAGTCTCATCTTCGTTCATACTGTGCACCGGCCTCAGGTTTCCAGTTGACATGAATCTGGATGACGCATTCTATCAGCCAACTAAATTTTTAATCACGAACCATCAATGAAATCAGTGAATCACGAATGTGGACCTGAATGTAAGTGTGAAACTGGTGCCAACTTGACAAACGTGGTAAACAGTCTTACCTTGCGTTATGGCTTCGAGTCCGTGCAAAAATCCACCTGTGTCATGGGTATCAGACGAAATGCATCTCAAACCGCGGGCAGGTGACGAAATGCTGCTTACAGCTCATCTTAGATAGGAACGTTTCATCATTACGGAATTCTGGGTGTTTTTCCGTGTTAGTCACCTACCTGTGGGTTGCTGGGCCTTCATTTTGAGGTCAGAGCAACGCAGTTCATAATACAGACTCGCGTCATAACGGCTAGAGCTAATGAAATGTCAGCCGAGCGTCCCGATTGTATTCTGGATGATCAGCGTTCCACGCTGAGCTTCTGCTATTTGATGCGAAGAGATGACGCCCGCAGTTACCATAGCAACCGCACCCAGCCTGAGTGCGGGCCCTGCAGATGGAACCCAGCCTGCATCGTTCCCGCGCCTCACTTGCGCTGACGTAGTCGGGTCCTAATGCCGAGAAACGAGATACGGAGCGGGCCAGTGCCACTCCACTGTCAAAACGACCCGACTCATCCGACGGCCAGAAGCCAACGACAGTATTTCAAGCACGTGCCGGCAGTTTGTTTGACGGTGTAATTTATCCGGTACGGGCGCGCGAGGTACGACCGACGTGCCTCTTAGGTAAAGTGGAAGCTTCCCGAAGGCTGGGCTATATTTGTCGGTCACCTTGGGCAGGTGTATCTGTCACGCCTACTCAACGGGGGGGGGGGGGGGTAGGGGGGGGGTTGAACAGGCTCGTGATCTTACGGACCATCTAAAAATCAAAGTGAACCGAGGCTGTGCCTAAGAAAAGTTCTTAGCTCTATTCATTGCTGAAGGAGCAGGCGATGTTTTCTCCCGTTCTTTTCTTATGATGCCTCAGTATCCTGTCCAGTTGGTCAGCGTTGTTTTGAAGTTGCTCCCTCCTCAGAGCCCGGCCGTCGTTGCCGTGCCAGAGATCAGGAGAAACATGAGCTCGTTATGACAGACAGTAGACGGCGCAGAGTACAATCACGATGAACGTGAATGCATGTAGCCTGTATCGCTCGCGTTCAACGATTTTTGATCTATGCATGAACTCACTTAGGTCAAAGTTTGAGGTTCTTTGGTCATGACCTTCGGGTCAAATAAGGTCGAACATGGTCAATTTCTAGGTTGGTCTCCAAAGGGCCCCTAAAACCTAGATGACCGCTCTAAGCAAAGGGCCACATGCTCATTTAAGGTCAGTGAACTTGTTTGACCTTTTGAGGGTCATGGTGGCCAAAATCATACATGACTGCTTTGAGGTTTCCATTTGAATAAACAACAAAGATAGGTAGCATGTTCCTTAAAAATCAAAACGTCGACCTGGGTCATTTTGGGTCAGTAACCTCCCTGGACCTTTAAGAAGTCCATCGAAGATGGACAATGCTGTCCCTGTTATCAATAAATTCGAAATGAGCAACAAAGACTACCCCATATAGCAAGCCCTACAGGTTGGTTTCACCTCGGTCTGACCTTCATACATGACCCTAGGTCAATTTAATTTGTCTATTCAATCGTTGTGTTGCCTAAGAAAGTATCTCAGATATGTATGACTTTGTCTAACGCTTCGTTGTTGGATCAGATTGAACGATTGCCTAGACATTGCCTTCGCTGAAATCATGGGCCGACTTTGACCTGCCATAGGTCAGTGACCTTATGCGGTAAATATACATTTTTGATGTAAAGCGATCCACTATTTAATTGTCTACAACTAGGCAAAATTTGGCGCGGCTATGGCGCGCTGTTCGGAAACCACTCCGGAAAAATCTTAGGGGGAGTCAATTTCACCCCCACCCGAGTGCGTGTTAAACGTGGTATGCACGCAGTAAAGGTCATTGGAAAATATGACTATCAATAAGTTTTTTGGCAACAAGTGTTTGTCGCTCCAATCTTTCAGATTATCACTGAACTGACGACATACTGGTTTAGCTGCTCTACGTGGAACCTTGTTTCCTGTTATGGTGCTTGGTGTTTGTTTCGACTACCAGCAAGTTAAAAACAATATTATTTAACTCTCAGATTTCATGAAAGTTAACACATTTGTTCTTACAAATAAGGCTCCATTCTTAGAGCTAATAAACGCAGGGGGAATTCAGATGCACCCAAGAGGTTATTTCAGCTTATTGCTTGTTGGGAAAATAACTACGCATTGAGTATTTGGCGAAAGATCGCTGGCTTTGAATGAGTATTCTAGGTCTCACACCATCTACATACATCAGGTTTCCCTACTAATATTTTTGGTACAATGCAAGTAGTCTGTCGCATCGTATCCCCAAATTCTATTTTCACTGTTGTCCAGTCACCTCCTCGGATGTCAAACTGTCAAATCTTTCTACCCAAAACTTCTCATCGATGCCACATGATGTCGTCCTCCGCATTCAACACATCCTTCGCCCCATCCAATCGGTGCTCCGGGAGGCATCTTTCCAATCAACTCCCGACCCCTCCGGCATCGATGTATAGATCGCCTCAAGCTTTCAGATCACCACTGAGTTGACCACATCCTGGTTTGGCCTATTTACGTGGAGCGGCCAATCCTTCTTCATGTCATTGAATATCCTATCATTCATCGACGGTGGATGAGGTGCTGAAGTCAGGCTGCTCCCGTCCTCAGATTATGCCTTTATCCTTGTCTCTTGTGTGAGGCAGGAGCAAGGTGTCTGAGGCTGCCCTTTTTGCCCAGATCAGGTGGACTTTATCTCCAAGGCATGCGAGACCTATACTTCAAGAAAAACATTTGAAGATATTGAAGCAAGCACCACATATAAGCAGGCTAGCTTATAACTGTCGGTATGCTGTTAAGTAGAGGGAACTGTTCTAGACAATGCAATTTCTCTGTTAAGCGTTGAATGGGGGACCAATTGACGACCGTTTTATCTGGAAATCGTGCTCACGAATGCCAGACGTGAACAACCCGAACATTTTTTCTCAGCCTTGATCGCCGCATAACTTATGAAATGACAAATTTTGCATGACGTTATTGTGACATCATTAATGTCAAGTTGACCTTGAAATATTCTTCCGAAATATTCCCGCCATTTTCGCGGCCGTGTGGCTCGGAAGCCAGGGGGACTTAGGCGCCAACAAGTGCAGGCTTGTTCACTGCACCGAAAGGTCTTCGAGACGGTTTTTAAGTTTGAAACCCCACAGAGATGTGGTACACTCCGTTTAACTTCATTGCAACACCTCCGCTTTCTTTCATAAGCCCGACATGTGGCTCCTACGATTAAGGTGGACGTTTGCAAATGATGCAAATATGCGCATGATCTAAAGCGATCTGGTCAATAAGTCTTTCTCATGTTCACGAAAGCAATGCCAATACAAATGCACATGGGCATCTAGTAGTGCAGCTGACTCTGTGGATGGACTACGGCGTGGCTTTATTCAGGGTTTAGCCATGAATGCGTATAGCAAGTCTTTGTTTTATATGCCCCCCCCCCCCCCCTCTAACGTCTTCAGGTATCCTCATTTCAGGACACATCGTTCGGTTGAATCTGACGTACCTCATCTTTCTCATTTATTTCTAGTTCCGTTGAATTCCTCCTATCGCTGTAACGGCGGGTGGAGTGCGGGTTCTATGAACGTACGGTATTTTCAGAAAAGCGAATTCAGAGATCGCATTGCAGTTTCATCATTTGATAACTGTCTCATCTCAATGGGGTACCCCAAGAGGAGCATGCAATTCCCCATTGTTCAGTTAAGAGGTAGACCCCACTCACCACTTAACTCCCACCACATCTAGTTTCTCACACAAGGTGGCAGGAAAGGTTTATGTATGCGATCTCTGACTGAACTCCCTCCTTAACGTGCAGATCTAATGCTCAGCTGTCCCTTGCAAGCCTACGGCAAGAGCCACGTCCAAGCGGGAACAAAACACAACAGCAGTGAAGACCTCCACCGACTATCATTCTTCGTCCACGTGTGGAGAGGAGTTACCTCCACGCCCAGGATGCATCGGCTCGAACAGCCCCGTTCGATCGCGGAACACAGGCCCTGTCCCGCACTATCATACACAGCACCAGGTGAGTTGCAACACTCAGCACAGACCGCGACAACGGTCAGACTTGCTGGACCGTGGGCCGTCACCAGGAGCAGGACGAAAGCGCGAGACACTGCAGCGTCCTCACCTTTCATCTCGCCGGTGTGGCGCGCTGGTGCCGCCGCCGCCGCCCGAGCAGGATTGCCGGCGGCGGCGCGGCGGCCGCGACCTCCGACCCCGGCTCCTCGGCGCGGCTGCGCGCGCTATCGCGGCGTCGTCACGATCGTAAACGGTATCAGCGTCCGTATCTGCGAAGGCGAGGCTGGGGTCAAGCCGGTGGCAGCCGCGCGGCGTCGACGGCGGACGCGGCGCACGCGAGCGGTCATTAGCCGGCCGCCAACCCGAGGGATTGCTGATCACGCATGGCCGTGTGGTATGCTTCCGTGCACCAGGTAATCCACTCCTGTCACGGCGATCGGCTACCGACGGCATGGGTATTGATTGGCCCTGTCCTCAGGCAATTGCCGCTTTCGATGGCGCAGCATTATGCCGGTATTCTGTGCGCAATGAAAAGCTTCGGACAACACGCGTGCACACGCCGAGTATATAGCCTGTTTGTTAATAACTTGCGCAGAGCAATGCCAAGGATCAATGTTTTGGCAACACGCGCGCACACGCGGAGTATATAGTCTGTCAAAAAAAACTTGCGCAGATCAATGCCAAGGATCAATGTTTTGACAAGATAACTATCGACAGTTGCCCCCATTTCACACATTTGCACTGCTAAGATTGACACGATGGAATGAGGGCGACCTAACAAAACTGGTAACCAGCAACAGCCCGTTTGGAAATGCAGGGTGGTTCAAGAATATTGATTTAGCGGCGCCTTTGCCACAGTGGTTGACACTAGCGGATTAAGTACCGCAGACCATCTTCCGTCTGTTACGTGCATCCTAGGTGTGTCACAGACGTTTCAGCGACTACATTTCTTTTCAGTGTTTGGCAGCTGGGAATCTCACATCTTAAACACGCTGATGGTAAAAAACGGCAGAGGAAAAGGGGGTGGTGCTGCACACCTCTGGCGGCCTTTGCAAACGGCACACGATGTTCGTGATATTTTTCCATGCATTGTGATGAAATTGCGCTTCACACAAAAAATCCCTGCCAAGGTTGTAGTTTCCTATCCAGTTTCATATTTAGACGTCGTCTCCCAACTTGGGCTCCAGCAGCCGTGTCATTTGTTATCAGCGTCGTTGGAGCAGCGCTGAAAACAGCCGCGAAACAATACCTTCAAGTATTCCCCATCCATCCATCGCACCCATTAGCTTTGTCTCCATGACACGTGCCTGAAAAACTCCCCATTTGCAGCCATTGTTTTCAGGGGACGGGCCTTACGCACTCGTCCCCGCTGCACAGCTGCTAGACACGCGGTATGGCGTCGAGTCGGCCCTCAGTGGCTGCCGAATAACGTCAGCCGACAGTGTTGCTGTGTAGGCGGGTGCGGTCGACGAAGGAGCCACACATACTGCATACATGCAATGCCGCTCATACTGACTTATACTGGATATC